TAGGTGAAGGAAGGCCTGACGCGATTGCCATTTACTAACTCTATTATCAACTTATCTGGCGTGAGCCAATGTAAATTATTAACGTAGTTAATGGGGGTAGAACTGAGTAGGGCCGTTTGAACGCCAACACACCTGGTTTCATTTCTCTCGAATCTTATCTAGCATGACCATGGCCAATGTACATGAATACCGTAGATAGGGGGAAGAATTGTGTTAAGACCGAATGGACGCTAACAACGCCCGGTTTCAACTTCTTCGGGTGAAATGACTAATGAACGCAGGAGATCAATCTATCAAACATGGTCCTATTAAACATTTGTATCCATTTTACTTTTATTTATTATTTACTTGTTCCCAGTTCTTTCCGTTACTTATGGTATATATGTTCCGTTTCTATTTTATTCTATTTTATAGTCACGCGTTTGAATAGTGGGAATTCCCACCAGTGTGGATTAGCAATGCTTAACCATTCTTTATTGTTAATATCAACACTTGATTATATGAACATGGAATATCATATTGTTTTTGGCTGTTTTCATTTCAGACTTGGGGTATAAACAGGAAAATATCCATAAACCTTTTCAAACACGACGATCTTGTGAAATTTAACGAAGAGGTTTCGCGACGAATTGGAACCAAATAAGCGAAAAGACGGATTGATCACTCGCGCCAATACCTCGCCGTGATAATTAATGTCACGCTTATCAAATAGCAATATGACGACAAAAGAGTTGCGTAATGAACCAAAACGACGGATTCCCTCGCGGACCGTTGAAAATTTAACTGCTATCGTATTAATCAATATGAGCCTGTGTGTTTATTTCTGTGCGAGATCCATTTTCTTACAAAATCTTGATTTCTGTTAACGGTTTTATCGTTATATATCAGTCCGGAACTTGGCCTTGCCATGATGTTTTTCACAATTCTCTCAATATTTCGGCATATATGATTAACTGTCTCACCAAATGCGGGCAACTTATTTTGATTTATCGTCGACTTGAATACCACCGGCACTCGACGAAACTTGTGTCAATCTTGGCCGATTAGGATCGCCGACTTGAGTTAGCAAATAAATTTGTGAGTGTAAAATAAATGTCACAAAATGCATTGTTTGCGATATAACTTTGTATTTCGGAGAAGCATGTCATATAAGTTCGGTATTTTAAATATACGCAAATAAATAATATTTGATCTAAATTTATCGCAAATAATGTTATAAACATTCAGTCCGCGAAATGATTGAATGTAAAATGAATGCATGGTAATCGGAATATCGTCAATAAGTCGACATCAATGATTATTATTATAAAAATGCTAACAAGGCAGTAATGTCGGATAATGCAGAAAACGCTGCAAAAACAAGTCTTCGTCGCGAGGAAATCGCAAGTATAATCAAATGAGAGATTACGCTCGTCGTTTGGTTAATAAATTAGAAACCCGTAATTTTTATTCAGTACTAAGGTGGTTTTAAAAAACTATCGTTTCCATAAATATCCGTATACCAGTGTCGGGTAATGATAAAATAAAATTGATCGCATAAAAATGGGACGGTTAATTTGCGAAGGTGATAAAGAAAACCAAAGCTACACAAAAGATAAAATCAGAATAAAATTAATTTGAATTCACTCCTTGATAGTTGTCTTTAACATCTGCCGCCGGCGTGTAGTACTGCCAAGAATAGGAAAACCCAACTTCAATGTCCCATTCGGAAAAAAAGTGGATTCAATGGGTTGTTACGATAGGTTTAAATGCGTGGAAAAATATCGCAATTACGGGGTCATTACGTAATTGATTTTGCCGTAATTACGGAATTGATTTTTGTCAATTACGTGCAAGCCTATTGGCAACAGACTTATTAAAAAATAACTAAAGCAGTGTTTCTCGAACTTTTTGAGCTGCGCCCCAGTTTAAAATTTGTTGAGTCTCGCGCCCCTCCTCAAAAATAACTAGCTAACTGGTTTGAACATTTGACTGATTTATCTTGGTACTACTTACTTTTGGTGTGTTTACGTATGGTTCACTGCATCGCGATTATTGGCTGATTACTTGATTACTTCTTTTATGGTTACTGTCTAGAGCTTTAGTCTGTCTTTAGATCTGTTCTCATAAGCTTGTTAATGGTGCTATAGTCATTGGGTATGAATAATCTATTTCTTAAGTTTCTTACATTGGGATAATCTGTTCTGACAAAGCCTCATTTAAATGTAAGTGAATTGGTATATTTTGCTTTGTATTGTGCCTGTTGCCTGTACTCATACTTTAATATTCATCTTTATTGGTTTTGTCAGGTCACTTTGTCTTACTGATATCTGGATTAAATCACTTTGGAGAAATCTATTCGTTTCATTTTCGGGATATTAGTTAAAGAGACATAGTAGGCAAGGGTGATTTGTCATGGGCAGAATCCAAACTAGTGGACATTTAATGATACTGCACCTACACCTAAAACTGGAGTCTGAATCAAGCATTCTTCTTCACCTTTCGAGGATTCAGCAATACATCAAAGCAAGAGTGCCAACTAACAATGGCAGAATATTTCAAGGTCAGAATTTCAAACAACTCAAGAGGAAGTTTCCTGGTACTCAAAGTAAATTTGGAAAGAATTTTAACACGATTTGAAGCACTCTCTGGAAAGAAGAGATTTTGAAAGGTCAAAATACTGTTTCATGATGCTAACGATAAAATAGCAATTTTTGGTCTGTCTAATTGATACTATGGAATTGGCTCTAATTGAAGAAGACAGTACTACACAAAGTGAGGAAAAACCCGTTATATATCAAATTTAGTGAAAAATTTTACGTGTGGAAAACAAGATTGCAATCGATTTTGAGAAATATGAAGACAAACTAGATATAAAGCCGGTGATATCATCTCTTGTAACCACTCAAAACAATTATAATAATGATCCTCCTATGATTAAGTTATGTGGTATGGATCCGCCATGCTGGAACGGACAAAAAGTAGACTTTTATACCTGGAAAGAACGTTTTACACATATAATGCACCATGCTAGAATTACGGATGATTTAGTGCAAATTTCATGGCTTTTACGCAATGGTGCAATGCCAAACGATTATCAAACAATGATATGTGACTGTAAATCAATTTCAAGTGCATGGGAACGCCTGGAAGAGCGTATTCCTAAATCAGTAGTTCAACGTGAAGTAATCAAGCAATACGAGCAAATAAAACCTTTATATAAGACCTCTCGTAATCCAGCGAACCTTAGGCGACTAGCTCACGAAATTTCTCTCTTCTGCCGACGTATGGAAGATCTTGGGTTAAAACAGGATGCAAACTCGGTTATTTCTGTCAATAGAGCATTAGAGTGTCTAGATGCAGACACTGCACTGCGATATAATAGTTCCAGCAAAGGTAATCATAACTTGGAATCTATAACGAATTTTCTGAGATCTGAAGCTAGCGTTGGAAATATCTGGTAACTTTATCAGTCAAACCGAGAATATGAGGTTTCGACCGAGACAAAACCAGTCGCCAAGATCTAATTTCAATACGGTTAATCATGCTACAGACGAGAATGATAACATGGGTTCAGTTCAGCCACGTCAAAGGACAGTCACTTGTATTTTTGGATGTGGAATTCAGCACCGCCTTATAGACTGCAACAAATATCAAAACCTATCAATTCCTGAAAGAAAAAACTTTATAGCAGATGATCGAAGATGTTTTATATGTCTAGGAACTCACTTTGCAAGAAATTGTGCAAGAACAACAGCCGATAGCTGTGTAAATTGTAACCAAAGACAGCATCATTGGTCATTATGTCCCGGAAAAGTACAGGGAAATTACAATACAATGAGAAATTCTGGTATGAACGACTCGAATTTGGAAAGTCAACATATTCACTCTAATGCAGCAGTATTCAACCAATCTCAGATGCATTCAAGACAATTGAGCGCTTTTAATTTGGATTATTCTCCATTACTTGTTGCAGAAGTGCAGGCGAGTGACAAAACATGGATCAAGGCAAATTTCTTTCTTGATGGTGGCAGTAACCATTCTTTGGTAAGACGTAATTTTGTAAAATCATTGAAACAAAAGGCAATAGGTCATGGAACAATTCGGTTTGGTGTCGCAGGAGGAGCCATTCATGAAGAACCTTCTGAAGATTATAATTTAAAAATTAGACCTCTTTCACGAGACCAGATATTTGATATCAGAGTTACGGCTGTGAGAAAACCTTGTCACGATGTTACACCAATTCCGCCATCTATTTTTAAACAGTTTAAATATCTAAGAGGAATTCAGGATAAAATACCAGTTGGGCAAAAAACAGTCGATGTTCTTGTTGGTAGAGATTATGCACCTTTAATTCAAACAATGCATTCATTACGTTCGCCAATTGATCCCGATAATCATCCTTCAGCAGCTTTCACATCTCTTGGATGCTATCTATATGGAGGCATTATTCAAGCACCGCAACGATCTTTCAATCATGTAGCAAATATTAATAGTTTTTCATCATTAGAAAATGAAGAGTTGCGCAAGTTTTTCCATGGTGAAGTTCTTGGAGTGCAACCCACAACTTTGTGTGTTTGTTCTAACTCAGAAATTGCAGAATCAGCATTTATCAAACATGTAAAAGCGACAACCAATATTAGTGCTGATGGCCGAGTTTGTGTCAAAATGCCATGGAAACCTGGTTTCCCAGAAAAATTGCACAACAATTATGAGAAGGCGTATGAACAAATGAAAAAACGGGAACAAGAATTGTATAGAAAAGGAAAAACGGAAGAGTATAATATGGAGATTAAAAATCTGCTTCAGCGAGGCGTAGTACGACGACTAACACCGGTTGAAACGAAAACGGCTAAAGTTGAAAATGCATGGTACCTCAATCATCGTATCGTAGACGTCCGGATAAAACCTCAACAAAATTAAGAATAGTATTTGATTCTGCGTGTCCTTTTAAGGGCACATGTCTCAATGATGGTTTAGAGAAAGGCCCCAGCTTTGCGAATTCTTTGTTCAGATGTTTCATGGCATGGCGAGCTGATAGTGTGGCTATTGCTGGTGATATATCGAAAATGTTTAATCAAATTCAAATGGCAGAAGTCGATCAGAAATTTCATCGTTTCCTTTGGCGCTATGGTGATTCATCGTTGCAACCAACAATCTTTCAATGGCTTCGGGTTATGTTCGGAGATAAATCTAGTCCTGACTTGGCATGCTTTACAATTAAATTTTTAGCCGATAAATTTCGAAAAGATCATCCTCTTGGAGCTGTTGTATTGGACAAAGATACATACATTGATGACGTCAGTCATTCTGTTTCGAATCACATTCTTGCAAACAAGGTTATCAATGATGTTGATCAAATACTTATTCGTGGAAAATTCTCTATAAAGATTTGGAACTCAAACCATCCTGAAGTAGATCAAAATCCTGGTGAAAAAGTTGTTGATGTACTTGGTCATTCCTGGAATAAAACTGATGACAGTTTCAGTTCAAAATTCAAAGACATTTCTTTCATGCAAACAGGATTTTCTAAAAGAAAAGCATTAGCATGTGTAATGAAATTGTGGGACCCTCTGGGTTATTTACTTCCAGTCACAATGCAGTATAGAATAGATCTTCAAAAGATCTGGGCAGATGGATTTAGCTGGGACCAAACTTTGCCAGATGATGTGGTCAAATGCTGGTATAACAATGTTCAAGAAATGTCCAAGTTAGCTCAAGTTTCAACTCCAAGATGTCTAAAACCTGAAAACACAACTGGACCTCCTCAACTGCACGCATTTTCAGACGGTGGAGATTTAGCCTATGGCACTTGTGTGTTCTTACGGTGGCCTACAACAGGTGGAGTTAAGCTAACATTCGTTGCAGCAAAGGATTTGTGGCGCCACTCAAACACAAAAGTACTCCAAGAAAGGAGCTAATGGGAGCAATAGGCATGAGCAGATTGGTGCATGAAATAAGTAAGCACTACCGTACAATATTGCATTCAAATATTTCTGGATAGACAGCAAAGTTGTTATTTATTGGTTGAATTCCCAATCTGGAAAATTCAAACCATTCGTTGCTTCAAGAGTACAAGAATTTCAAGATACACATAAGAATCTAACAAAAGAAGTCAAATTCATTCCAAGTCTTCTTAATGCTGCAGATTGTTTAACAAAACCTATTTCCTGCGAGAAGCTTACAATTTGGCATGAAGGACCTGAATTTCTAAGGCAACCAATGGAATATTGGCCGAATGATGATGACTTAAAATTAGATGAATTACGTCAAGAAATATTGGAAGAAAAACCACCAACTAAGTCAAAAGCATATCGCGGAAAAAGACAATTCAACGTCGTTAAAGCAGATTTGCCTTATCAAAATGATAATGATTTAGCGGATAATTTTTCTTCATGGCAAGACTTGCTAAGAGCGACAGCTTGGATGAAGGGTGCATTTCAGCAAAAATCATTTGTCAATTTGGAATTTAAACCTGCCGATGTCGTACAATACATAGAGAAAGCAAAATTGTGTATATTCAGAATTTGTCAAAAATCTATGATTGATGAATTTGGGAAGGCTGTCAAAACTCTATGGAAATTAGACTTGTTATTCGATTCTCACGGAATTCTTCGTATTGGTGGAAGACTGAATAGAACTGATTTATATATGGAAATGAAGCATCCAGTCGTGCTTCCGGGCAAACATTCCCTCGTTCGTCTTCTTGGAGTGTTCTATCATAAAAAGTTCTTACATCAAGGGTATCGAGTTATATTGGCAAATATGAAGAATGACGGTATTGTTCTTATTGGTGGAAGAATACTCTTAAAATCAATAGCATCAATGTGTATATTTTGCAGGATTCGTCGTAGAAAGTTGGCTACAGCAACGCATGGGAGAACTTCCTTCATTTCGAATGCAACACAGATGGCACCATTCAATTCTGTAGCATGGATTTTTTCGGATACTTGAAAGTAAAGCAATCTCGAAATGTAGTTATCAACGCGTCTGTTTTAATTATTACATGTGCAACCATCGTTGTATTCATCTGGAACTGTGTCTGGCTCTGGATACTAATTCGTTCCTTGGGCATGGAGACGATTTGTATCTATAAGGGGAATTCATCCTGCTTTTGTATTTTCCGACGGAGGTACTACATTTTCAAGCTAGTCAAGCGCCTATCAAGGAATGGATCGAGAAATGGAATTTTCAGTTGATTCAACATAGATGGCAGAGAATCAAACGAAATTTGATTGGAAATATAATGTGCCTTACGCGTCACATATGAATGGAGTAGTAGAATCGCTTATCAACTCGTTCGCAAAGCACTCGAATGCATCAGTGGTGAATTACAAGCAGGGCTCTTATGACCTACGAAGAATGGACAACTGTTCTCAACGAAATTACTTATATCATCAATAGTCGACCACTTTTCCCAGATGAACCCTTTGGAATATAATTGTATTACTGCAATACTCTTTTACATCCATATGCAAAGCAGGTAGTCCCTCAAACTACACAAGAAGAGAGATTCAATCCACGAGACATGCTAAAAGTGGCGGAAAACAGAGTTGAGGTGTTCTGGAAAACATGGATGAAACACATACCGCCTCAGCTATTACTTGCTAACAAATGGTTTCGAACAAGACGCAATCTTCAAGTTGGAGATTACGTATTAATTCTTCAACCTGGATTTAAAGGCGGAAGTGCACCCAGAGGTTTATGGAAAAAAGCACTGGTTCACAACATTATGCCCAGTTCAGATGGCTTGGTGAGAAGTGTTAACAATCAAAGACAGCGATGGGAATTTATACAATCGACCAATACATAAACTTTGTCTAATTGCGACCAAAGAAGAGCTACAGTGTGGGTTGAAAGACATCTAATCTCATATCAGTTACTCCGAGTCAACAATGTTCAATATTATCGTCTTTTTCATTGCATTCATAGACTGGGGGGGAGTGGTTTGAACATTTGACTGATTTATCTTGGTACTACTTACTTTTGGTGTGTTTTAACGTATGGTTCACTGCATCGCGATTATTGGCTGATTACTTGATTACTTCTTGTTATGGTTAACTGTCTAGAGCTTTAGTCTGTCTTTAGATCTGTTCTCATAAGCTTGTTAATGGTGCTATAGTCATTGGGTAATGAATAATCTATTTCTTAAGTTTCTTACATTGGGATAATCTGTTCTGACAAAGCCTCATTTAAATGTAAGTGAATTGGTATATTCTTGCTTTGTATTGTGCCTGGTTGCCTGTACTCATTTTAATATTCATCTTTATTGTTTGTCAGGTCACTTTGTCTTACTGATATCTGGATTAAATCACTTTGGGAGAAATCTATTCGTTTCATTTCGGGATATTAGTTAAAGAGACATAGTAGGCAAGGGTGATTTGTCAATGGGCAGAAATCCAAACTACTAACAGATAACAAATAGTAAAGTGAAGTATGTTTTAATCGAAAAACACGTTGATGGAACGTAAATAAAGAAATAAAGGAAAAGTTTTGAAATGTAAATATCCGAAATAGGGCGGGCAAGATTTAATCTAACAAATATTTTTATTTTCACTTAGCTCACGCCCTCCCGCCGTTTGAGAGCCGCTGAACTAAAGAATTTGGATTTTCGTGACTACGATTCCGACTTTCTTCCACTTGTCTTTTTCTATCTGTAGTGTTACTTTTCGCCGTTAAAATCTTGATTAAATCGGCACAATAATGGCATATATAGGTAGTCATAATTAGGGCTCGACCGATATCACTTTTTGACGCAGATATATTGGCCAACTGGTGGCCGATAACCGATATCGCTATGCCGATATTAATATAAATCATATTTTGAGCCACGCTTTTATGATGCACCTTGCGAGTCTGTAGTTTCATTTAGATATTTATTATCATGGCAGTAAGACTTTTCTTTAACTAACTCCAGTTAATGCTCGAACAAATGTTATGTTTCTCTGTAACTTTTCCTGCTACTTCAATATCAGTCTAGATATTTCCAGGAAAAAGAGTTGTTAATCAGACGTTTTTAAATATAACTATGGGCATAGGTTAGGGGCATTAAAAAATTATAATTGATATAGGTATTTTAAAGTAAATCGTGATAATGATAAATTCCTTTGATATTGTGATAGTATGTGAAATTTTTATTAACTTTGTTTCCAGAGACTATCAATACCTTATTTAGTCAATAATAATGGAAGTTTTTATTTTGTAATTTTCAGCAAAATGATAAACAACCATCAATATAGACAAAACTGTTAACCCAGAAATTCAAAATTGAATTTGGGGAGGTCACAAATTCTATTCAAACTATTCATCCACTCCTTAAAATACTGACTGATGTTGTAACTGCCCGAAGAAGCAATTACGGCATCAATAAAATTTGACATGGCGGTGGTTGCATTATCTATAAGTTCCAATAGATAATTAATTCTTATAAATTTATTGTGGGGCTCCACATATGATAGTCAGCCTCTTCACAGGCTCCAAAACACTAAACGTTTGCAAACCTCTGTTCCAAATCATTACTAAAATCAAGAATTTAGGATATATCCATTCGCAAATGCAGTGATGGACGGGGGTTTGAATATCCCAACGCAGATGTGAACCTGTTTCTATACTAATAGACCACCACGTTTGACATTGGCACAACTTAGAGCAGGGATCTCAGCTTGAACCCTAGAAAAAAAGGTCGCAGTTATGCCTGATTAAACAGAAGTACCAATACGCAATAATAGGCCCCTCAGCAATTCTGATTTAATAATTTTGTCAGACTCCCCAAGGTCAAGTAGGAAACACAATAACAAACAAAAATACTATTTTTCGTAGATTTCGTCGGTATTTTGAAGAACAGTAATAACTCATTATTAATGTTTTATGTTCACTTTCGTCCCCGTTTCGGCTTTTTACCCCCACCTTTCATTTTTCCTCTCAAATCGGTTTTCATTCTTCGATCAACGACCTTAAATTGACCCTTGACACCTTGAGGCCTCCGTACTTTTTTACCGACCCCTCGTTTAGCAAAAACATATGTTACATTTTCTTTCTGTTTTTTCAACATCCCATGCTTTTTGTAAATAGATTTGATCTGGGAAGTCTTTTCCGCATTCGACATGTTATGAGAATCTGTAACATTTTCGACTTGTTTTCTGGCCTTTTCCGTTCTTTTCATCATTTTTCGTTTTTTTCTTGCTTTTGCTTCCGCGACTTTCTTTATAGTTTTGGAGTTGATTGCAACGTCGCGAGATTCATAGTACTTTTTAACATGTTGTGGAATATGGGAATCCAAAAATGTTCTATGAATCCTCTTTTTTTCATCTTCTACAAACCAGTCCGGCAGACCTTCGTCTTCAAATGTATAACGATTGAAAGAATCATCTATTATATCTCTCTTCCTTTTCCGAGACGCTGCAATGACTGTTCCGAGGGCAAGCCCTGATGCGTCTAACTTTCCAGTCGCACCCCGATAATCAGATGGCACAACTTCAAAATCTTTCAAGTTGGGGTTCTGGTCCTCAGGATCAGCTGCCATGTTGATGTCGTAATCACTATCGCTACTCGAACCACTGTCCTCATCTTCTTCTATTTTAGGATCATGAGGATGTTTCATTTCAACTTCCATTTTACCTTCCTCCTTGGAAGATTCTTCAATTTCATCCTTTTCTGGAATCTTTTCCTCCTTTTTATTCTTCGGTTTGGGAGGTACTCTTTTGGCATCTAGTTTAATATCAGCAAAGATATCTTTACTAAACCAAAGGTCGGTTTGTCGCTCAGAAGCGAGTTCGTCCTCACCTAGTGGTACAATAAGTGGATGCGGGCTCTCCTTTTCTTGCTTTTCCTCATCAGAAGAATTTTCACCATCTGATTCCGGATTGTCTTCAAATTCGATTTCACTGACTTCATCATCAGACTCGTATCCATCTTCATATTCATTTCTTTCTTTGTCATGAATTTTCATGCTGTCATCTTCGGTAAGCGTCTCCAAATGCTTGTTAGACTTTATATTATGCAAAGAGAACAATTCCATGTCTTCTTGAGTGTTTGTCGATTGCGCCATATGACCCATGCGTTCACGTAACTTTCTCCGTTCCTTAGTAACAACTTTCTTTTTTCTTTTGAGTTGTTTCGCTTCATCCTCTTTCATTTCGGATAACTTTTTCTCAATTTCTGCATCACTGTCAGATGATGATCCCTCGTCTAATTCTTCATTTTCTTTTTCACCCTTTTCAGACTCTTGCTCTCTTTTTTTATTCATCTTTTTATGCCAGTTTACGAGAATTCGAAATTCACGTTTACCGATGACCTTCAAATCTTTACACGCATCGACAATATCATCTGTTGTAAAGACATGCCCAAAAATTTCTTCATCATCAAATACAAGCTTGTTGCTTTGTTTCAGGATGTGCAATGGTTTATCAGAAGCAAGAAATTCGGATACTATACATTCTTCATATAACATTGTAGCGTCATCTTTATACCCAACTGCTTTCGCTTTTTTCAACAATTTTTTATTTCCAAAGTCTGCCATCGTAATTTGGTCATCACCAGGTGTAAGTTCTTGAAATACATGTTTCGCATCGAAGAATTTTTTGTCGATTTTATCTGGCGCTTTGTAGCCTTGACAAACAACGAAAATTTCAGCAGATTCATTTCGAGAAGCTTGTGGTTTCGTTGCATGAACTTTTTTGAAAAGTTGATTAAAAATCCACATTAATGATTGATAATCTTTTGAACGGAAAACTTTGGTCACAAACCAACCTCCCTTGCGGAGGAAATCGCACGCTAATTTCAATGCGTGAAGAGTCAAAACAGATTGGGAGAATGCATCATGAAGCCAGTTTTTACCAACATTGGGCGCTCCGTCGTGAATAACCGAATCAGCTTTCCAATTATGAAGTTCCTTTCGGAGTTGTGATTTGCATTTTTCAGTGGTAATATCCTCAGTGAATGTTATGCAATTTGGAATAGGCTTAATTGGAACTAAATCGACTCCAAGAATTAAACTTGAAACTGGCATATACTGTGATGCAACTTGAAGCCATCCTCCTGGTGCAGCACACAAGTCAATCAGGACTTTGGAGGTTTGTAAAAAGCTGAATTTCTTATTCAGTTGCAAAAGTTTGAAAGCAGAACGAGCTCTGTATCCAGTCTCCTTTGCTAAATGATAGAATTTATCCTTGCGCTTCTTGGCTTTGGTCTTTTTACCCATTGTATGATTGTTTTAATAATAATTATCTGAAAGTATTTACAAAAATGAATTTTCGAATGAACGTAAGACTAAAATATTATGCAGTAACGACCACGAGTGATATTATTTGAAAGAGCTGTGCTAAAAAATCTAATGACAATGGTCTACTTGAGAAACTACCAAAATGTTACCAGAGCGGGGGAGCTTGCACAAATCACAATGGCTCCATTGATACGAGATAGCCCTGATTGCTACTACGGCTATCGCTTTCTAATACAACAGAATTTGCTACACATTAGGCTGGAGGGTAGATTGTGTTACAAAGCTCTGAAAAATATTTATACTTTATGAAATACTATTTCGGCAGGACAGGGAATAGCCAAAACTATGTGGTGTTTCGTATTCCAAATAAACCAAAATAATAATTTCGAATATCCACAGCAAAATTTGTGCATATTTATATGAAATTAAAATTGGCATTTAAGGAAGCCAGACTATTATCGTACCATCAGATCGCAATTTATTCATATCAACAACATGGCTAATATGTATTTAGTTAAGTGTTGGACATTTCAGTGTAAGATTCTCAAAAACTAGTGCAATATTTTCCTTTATCATTAATATTTATAACCAAGAACTCGATAAATATACAAACACAATGCGCTTCAAACAGCCGGATACTTGCTGCTTGTGAAAATAATGCCAACGTTAACAAAAATAATATATCAGTTACGCGATGCCGAGCGAGTTAGAAACAGATACTTCAAGTTTCTCAATTTTATAAGGATTTAAAAATGTGGTACCATCTTGTCTACATATATTCTTACTAAAATTCTTCATAATTTTGGAAAACCTGCTCACATGGGCACTCGCAGACTTTGTTTTGTAACTTGATCGATTGTTTTGAAAAACAAACAATTTAATTGGTGAATTTGAACTGCAATTAGTTGGAATCAAGTCAAATTTAAATGGAGCCAAGTAAATGAAAATTAGTTATCCTGTTTATTTGGTTCAACTTTACGCTCAAATCGACACCTATTCTACAGTGCAAATTCAAATTATATATTTCAAAGCGTTAATCCCGCATAGAGCATAAACTGAATCATCAGGGATATTGGTTGATATCAATCCATTATTTTACTTTCTGCGAATGCCCATGTGTTGACCTCCCTGACTCATTACGCACTAAAACCCATTTCCTAGCAATATTTCTGATATTAAAAAAGACAGATGAAAGTTGGCAATCTCATTCACTACAAATCAAGTTTAAGCTTTTGCTCATATGTAACAAACGAGCAATAGCTGGTTGAAAAGAGCAAACGAGACACCAATGATGCCTGGGACAAATTAAAAAAAAACGATACCGCTTCAATCATGAGGCATGCCGAAACGAAACTTTGATCAACTATATCATTAAAGCGAGGAAAATCTTTCACGTCAAAATCGATAGAATTGTAAACCATCAAATACCGCATACTGTAAATACACCTCATTGGTGTTTGCGACAAAATCCCACACACAGATAAATCTCTGACCATAACCATAATAGATAACAAATAGAAACCAAAATTATTTAGGTTTTATGTATTGCGGTAAATTATCATTTCTACCGAACAATATATTGCGCAATATAACCATCAACAATAAGTCAAATTACTGTGATGATTGAGATTGTGACTGAGATGCTCGCAAACTCGAAAGTCTTCGACGCTTTTGGGCCTCTTGTTTCTTTTCTTTCAATTCTTTGGCTCTCTTCGCCAACACTTTTTTGTACTCGGTCTCTTCTTTCTTTGCCTTTTCTGCACGTCTGCGTTTCATGGTTTCCCTGTGTCTCTTTCTCTGGAGAACTTGCGGTGTTATTAATCGCTGAATTTTAGGGGCCTTGTATCTTGGTTTTTTCTGCTCTTTCCCTTCTTTTGCGGGAACGGGACGTCTGACAACATATTGACGAACGTCATCTTCTCTAGACAAATTGAAGAGCTTTCTGATCTTGCTTGCACGCTTAGGTCCAAGACGTTTTGGGATTGATTTGTCAGTTAATCCAGGGAGTTCATTATCTCCTTTCTTGACAATGATCAAGTGTAAAACGCTGAGATTCGCATCAACAATACATCCACGAACAGATTTACGTTTTCTCTCGCCAGTACGACGGGGCCTGTAGCATTTATGACCTTTAGAAAGGAGCAATTGAACTCGACCAGCAGTAAGAACACCCTGTTTCATGGGGAAACCTTGCTTATCGTTACCACCCCCGATCTTTACGATGTATCCTTTCCACTCATCTCCCAAAGATTCGGCGGAAACGTCTTGTCCCATACGACGATCATAAAAGGCACGTAATTTTAACTCATCGTCTATCTCAATAAGCTTCTGGCACCCCGTTGCGGGGTAAGAAACGTTCAGCTTCATGGCAAAAAGAGGCGAAACCTATAGGGGCCCAGCTGAAAAAGACCGCCTGGTGATGATTTTGCCGTTACCAGATTTCATCATTTGACTTTGGCTACCCAGTCAGGTGGGCTCTTCTTTTTGTGCATCCGAAAGAATAAGTTCGCACTACAAACTGTTAATCAAGTTTTACAATTGTTTTAAATTCATTATCTGATAAACTTTTCAGACCATTCATATACTTACATATCGTTAATTTAGCATTATCAAATTCTTCCCATAAATGTCCAAAGTTAAATTTGTGACAGTATTAATTTAAAACCTGCTGTTATAAATTTTTGTTTTGTTTTATTTGATACGTGATCGGAAATTTCATAATTTATTAGTGTAGAACAGTTCTATTTTGTAAAAACAAATAATTTTTTTGAATCTAGAATCTGGCATCTGCTTATATCTCACGTCGCCACATGAGAACGCTGTGAAACTGACGCAACCATTCAAGCATGGCGACGTAAATTTGGTTTGCGTGAAAACGTCACTAACGGATTTGTTACGCATGACGTACCTCGAGTGGCGCTCAACTCGAATTCCCAAACCCGATTGCTTGTCAAAGCAATGTTTAAGCAAATAATGTTTGGGGTAAATACAAGGTAATAACGGTCGGGCGTGGATAAAATTTTACGAGTGGTATAACGAGATACTGGACAATAATTATGGACGCGTTTTGAAAGGTGAGGATGATTTTGTGTCAAAATTTTCGAGTTTTTATCTGCGACAGTTGCCTAGGTGCAAGATTTTTCCGTTTTGCAATTACAGAATTCCATAGTTATGATTGATTGCGTATTTTAATATGTCTGTATGTTGTCATATTATTCTAATGTGTAATAAAATATTTTAATAATGAATGTAATAACAGACTGACAGAATATTTGCGTGATGAATATACAAATACCAGTACAGAAATACGCAATTTGATTTCTGCATTCATTTTCTAAATACAGAAATAGTGAAGTACGGTATTGGTGCAATAATAAAAAAAGTTTGAATTACTGTACTGATACTGAAGGTGGTCCATGTTTGTCATACAAAATCAAAATTTGAAAAGGTGAAATAAACACAATTACAGAAATAATAAAAATACGGAAAATAAAAAACATAAAGTTATTGATGAAAGTGGAGTCAATCATTTCATTTTCCATTTTTAAAAGTTGATATTTTGCACTTTCGCACAAAAATAAGCCATCTGCATCTACTAAACCTGTGGAATGAATGAACATATTTTCAACAGGTTTTTTTAATGTTTGTATATAGTATTTGTATATTTTTTAATCGAATTTGCTTAAAGCGAGATCACGAACTCACTCAAAAATAAAGGAGATTGATCTCTGTATGAGGTTACGGGCGACCACTAGAGTGTCAGGAGCTACCTAGAGCAGTGGTTGGCAACCTTTTTCAAGTGACAGACCGGTGAAGCCTGACCAAAATTTTTGCGGACCACCTTTATACAAACAGACTAAGCCTATGCAATAAATTATACACATTAGGAAATTTATGTTGACAATATACTAAAAAACGAAAGTGATGCTATTTGATGCGATATCTGTATTTGTTTGCTGGCCATTAACTGTTCCCGTCCAGACTACTTTGGTATTTCTTTTTTGTAGTTATCAATATTGAAGACCAGGCCTCACATTAATAAGATTTCGGGAAAGGTACCGATGCCTGTAGACCTTCTGACTCTGGTCTGGGTATTGATTGATGATTGTTTTGCCAAAACTATTTTTACCCGATGTGCTAACCTTATGATTATCCGGATTCTGAAGTATAAAATTAGCACTGACTAGGCATGACCGGTTAGCAATGAGCCAGTAGTGGAGTTAGTCACATTCTTAGCGAGAATTATTTTGTTGGAGATATCTTATACCCAATGAGCATATATGCTCCATCGCTTGTACGGACTGATGAGAAACATTCTTTTAGGAGCGTAGTGGAAACAATTGACCCAGCATTATTGAGACGTACTGACATAGCAATTGTTTGTCTGGTTTGCTGTCGGCTGTTGTTTTTTAGTCGTAGAGTTTGTGGTTAGATTGTAGATATTTTACTACGGTCTTGTCCGTTTTTGTGTCACCTCTCTGCGGACCGGCAGTAACCTTTCCGCAGACCGGCGCTGGGCTGCGGCCCGGTGGTTGCCGAACGCTGACCTAGAGTATACATAATTATAGTGAGTGCATAATTGTGCATTCTCTGATCTTAGGCATACACTTCTTAAAATAGAAATCGGAAAGATATTATGCTTCTATTAAAGATATTATTATGCTTCTAGGAAAATAATATTAAATAAATCACTACCCCATTTTTATTAATGCATCTCGTTCATTTGAAGTTTTCTAGTGTTGAATGTGTTTATTCGTCTCAAAATATTACAAGCTCGGTATAATATTCATACTAATTCTCGTAATTCCTATTACCTGACAATATTTAGTGAAATATGAAATAACAGTCATTATATTCAGGTTTTATTCAATTTGCAAGTAACAGTTTGTTTTATATAGTTTAACTACACTTTTAGGGCTGCGAAGTAAAATTCAACCATACCCGAAATGCTGATTTTTTTTTTCTTACAGGTGACCCCACCCCCCAACTCTAAGAAATTTTAACCCAAAAAACTGTTTTTCATTCAAGCCTTCTTCAATTGCCGGTCGAGACTGCTATTTTAGTTCCCGCTGGAAATTTTGATCCTGATTTCACCATTAGAAGTCTGAAATTCAGACTCCCAACTTAAAAAAGTTCTCTCTTGACTTTGACTTTAAAATCATTGAAAACCGATCACAGACCATGAGTCATGACTTCTAATGCAATAATAATATTTTCATGATAATTGTGTATTAAATGGAAGAAGTCATGACTCATGAGGGACAAATAGGCTTCTCATCGAGCAATGCTGGCCTGTTAGCTGTTCCACTTGCACTCACTATTCTTTTGTTTTCAGTATTCATTCCTCTATTTCAGCATGACATAGCGAGATGTCAGTAATTCATCCAGGCAGCAGCATCAATTTTGATGCAGAGAATCTTCAACAGAATGATGATGAAGATGAAATGTTACAAGAGGAATTAAGACAACAAAAAGAAGTAAGAAGATTTTGGGTCTAATGTAGTTTCGTACCTCAAGTACTTCTAGTGGGCGTAGCATAACAATTTTTGCACATATCAATCCTAACTCCCACCTGACTGCATCTTCTAAAAATCATTATCTTACGCCCGCTAGAAGTACTTGAGCTACCTAAACTACACCATACCCGAAAATTTGTATAAACTGAGTAGACGATGCTGTGCTGAGATTTTTCCTCCAAAGATTGTATCTCGTTATGTATTAGTAGCTGCGTTTAAACACCTTGTGTGAAGTCATAAAAACCTCATAAAAATGAGTAACTGAAAAATAATAAAAAACAAAACTTAATTTGAATTTTGGTGCAAGCAAAAATTGCAATCGAGCTCCAGGCAGCCAAAATCATTTAATTTTGATTGTTTGAAATAATGTTTTACAATCACAAACTAGGATATCTTTAAGATGAATATTCACATGTCAACATACTGTATATCTGTTCAATTAATGAATATTTGAAATAATATAAAAGCAGAATTCTAAAATACCCAACTTTCAAGATACTGAGGCTCCTAAGCACTTGTGATTGCCTCATTTTGCAATGCATCATGGCATTTTTCTTCCCACTATGGAAGAATTCGAAATTCCTATTTTAGGAAAAGTTTTTTTTTTGTTAAGAAAAAATACTCTAAATTACATATATTTTCTATAAAATTGCGGTTTTTGTATGAAAATCCTGATTTAATTCAGGATTCACCAAATATTCGGACATGAACATTCCCCGCTCTCATTTGGGTCCTAGGTTGCTGGCCAATTGCTGTAATCTGTAATTGATTTGACAAATTGGGATTGCAATTTCTCTAGTTTGGGAGATTCAAGTTAAATTACTGATTTTTTTTATCATTCATAACCGAACTAAAAATTCTAACCATTCCAAGCAATTCATAACAATATTGTCAATTATTATTTATTTTGACACATTTTGTTGTTTTTGACAGTGAACTGTTCATTGACCTTCTGTTTCTTTACCCCTTTCGTTGTTCGTTTTTTATCAATAAATAATGATTTTTCACCACAAAAGAAATCCGTGTGCGGCAATCGTTATTCTGTTCATGTTGATTTAATCTATCAACAAAGCCACTTCATTCCAGATTTTCTATAATCCTATTGTATGGCCATCATAACTGTCTTGAAAAACGTGAAAGTTTTTGAAAAGTGTGTCACAATGGATTAGTATAATGAGGTAGCTGAATCCGGTAATGATTTTTTGCCATACTCAAACAACCTCGGCCCGTAGTAAAACTTACATAAAATAATAAAATATCTCACAATAAAAGAAAAAATTGTTTCAAAATTATCAACAATTTTACAAAGTATCATCATTTTTTATATGCATAATATCATCGGCCATACAAGAACAATTTCAAAATGAGAAATTAGACTCACATAAGGGCTGGCCCATGCTTGAATTAAGTTACCAAAATCAGTCATTTTTTATAAATATAGCCACACATCAAACGTGTATTGAAGCGCAGTCAGACTGTCATACCAGCTGTACTTAGTGGTTTTTGAAAGGCACTTCTTATTAGAGATGTCCTGTTTAATATACGGACTTTAAATTTCAATTTTTTTGTCTCTGGAAGTTAAGTTTAACTTAACTTTATGCAACATGGTTGATATTGTGATTCCTGATTGCTTAGATGAAGTTGGAAAGATTAAGTCTTATTTATATCAGGTATTTTTAGATTATTTTCGTTTGAATGCTCATATAAATTTGTGTTGCTATTTAGGATTGAGATGGCTTCTCTTGGACATATCATATAAATAACAGGGGATTCGAATACTTTTTTTCAAGCAAATTTGGAGGTATTTCCTGAAAACCGTGATTAATATTGCTGTTCATGTTCATGTCGAATTTGAGAAAATTTATATTTTATGAAGGTTTTCACACAGTTGCTCCGAATAAGGCTCTGTAAGTAAGCAAGGAGATATACTATACAATATTGGCTGCATATGTAGAGGATCTCAAGTTTGTAACTTTTGCCTACCACGCCGCCTAAGATATAATGAATGGAAAATGAGATTGCCCAATTTAAAAAGTTTCAATTTTTTATCATGAAACAGTAGATTTATACTTATCAATCGCTTATCTAGAGGCATATTGTGAGCAGTTTTGACCTCTCGGAAAAAGGTCCATTCAGAAATTTTTCTTTTTACTTATCGATCTTAAGATCGGTAAGTATATTGATAGGTATTTGTCTGTATGTCTGTGTGTGTGTCTGTTAGATGCACGCGATATCTCACGAAAGCGAGATTGAATCTGCCCCAGATTTTGCATGTGCATTCATCTTATCTCGGACCAGAAGCCTATTGATTTTGGGCGAATTATGTCGTATAATTAGCGAGTTATCAATCAATTATTGATATAGTGATCTAGATTTTTGTAAAGCGAGAGAGATTTTGAAACCCGCCGAGTGTGTGTGTGCGATGCGCAGTGCGCAAGTTACAAGAGCGGATGAAACGAAACTGCAGTTTCTGTTTTGGGGGATCCCCTAACTATCGATCGATAAGTCTTCGGTTTCCAACCGATATTCTCGTTTATTCAGTTGAGGGAACTTCTTTCTGCGGAATTATCAGACGATTTGTTAGATGATGACCACTCATCCGTGAATGACAGCCACAGATCATTACCACAAGATGTCAGCAATGAGCAACATGAAAGCGTGGAATCACCAGTGATAACTAGCACAGGTATGTATATTTATTATAATAGCTTATACTCTTAGTTTTATCATTTTAGTGTTCTCTAGAAAACTTTTAATAAGAGGTAATCCTATAAGCCAGTGGTTCTCAAACTTTACGTCAGAACGCACTAGTGCAGTGGTTTCCAAACTTTTTAGAGTTGGGACCCACTATTTTTCACCACAGCTTATGGCGACCCACTTAACTTTAATAAATTAATAAAACATTGATGGAGGAAACAAATTTATTTTCTCAAAATGAATTTTCAGTGAAGCTAGTGAGAAAGATGAGCTTGTTTTTTGCTATTTTCCACAATAGACTTGACATTTATTTCAATTTCAAATAGTTTTAGACGTAAAAAATTGAAAAGTTGCAGTTTATTTCAAAATTTGCTTTCAAATTTGCTTTGCCACCGATCCTAATAACCAGTATAATTAATCAAAGTTTTCTACATCTTTTCACGACCCACTGAGATTCCTCTTGCGACCCACCAGTGGGTCGCGACCCATAGTTTGGGAACCGCTGCCCTAGTGCATTGCATAATGATTTCGAGTCTGTTGAAGAATATCGATCAATTTACTTGAAAATTCTATTAAATCTGTTAATAATATAAACATTAAAAAGGAAGTACGACAGGTGGTTTATAACTTTTCCCTGAGTCAGAGAGATTTGGGAATCTTTGCCATTAGACAATTTTGTTTAGACATTTAGCATTAGAATTTCTAATTGGCAACCTTATAGCAAAATACCATTATATATCCCAGTTTAGGAATTCAATATTTATTTTCCAACTTACAACCCTTCTTGTTATTTCTTGTATAAACAGGCTGGATGCAGAATGGTGGTAACTATAATGTCACACAACCTATCACAACATCCACCTCTGAACCTTATTATGGAAGAAATGGATACGATGTCAATATAAGGGTATGTTGATACATGATGTTATTCTTCCAGTTCAATTATAGTGAGCTTGATGACCCAATGCTTAACGCGTTGAGCCATCTATGTTAGCATAACAAGTTAGATCCGTTTTCAAACCTCACGGCCAATGTTCCCTCTAATTTTTTGTAGTATGTGTGCACAGAAATTTTGGTGTGTGCCCACTTTTTTGGAAATGACTAATATTTGTGCAAAAACCAATGAAGAAATTTTGGCGTTCTAACCGGGTAACAAGTGGGCCAACAACAAACTTTCTCAACCTGCCAACCGAACACATTGTTACATTACATCGGAATACGTCTGGGCGCAGTAAATCTATGCATGTGCGCAGCCTCTGAAAGCTGTTTGCGCGCGCACACCTTGGAGGAACACTGCTCACGGCTGCCATATTATTCAGGGTAGGATAAGATTGCAAAGTATAATTCTAGACCAGAAAGGTTCATGCATTTTCAAAATCCTAATGCATATCAGTAACTGCTTCAGCTTATCTAAAGCCTTGTTCTGAGTGGGAATGAAAAACAGCCTATCAAGTATAATTATAAAATACTTGACTGTGCAATATAATCTTAACAGATAAATGCCAAATTTAGTTTATAAATACAGCATAATATAAAACGTTTAATTGATACTTGAATAGGATTTTTCATATTTATTCTGGCGAGAAGGAAAGGCGGCATAAGTATATCCTGTATTGTATCTTTATGATGTGTTCAAATAGGCCTGGTTAATTATGTTAGATGTGGGAATGTAAAATTAAAAACTATTAGAATATCGACAATTGTATTGTACATCAACTTTGGTCATAGAGAGAATTATTTTTAGAATCCATACAATTATCAGAATGGCCAACAACAATATTATGATCCTTCATATGATATTGTGACATCACAATCACAGCCACAATGGCATCAACAACAACAAGGATATGGGAATAACATGATGTTTCAACAGGTAAGGCGTTGTTCAGTACAAGGTTTTGGAGTCTCAAGTTCAACTCATTTTTGTCGATATTGGAATGTCAGAGTTGTATTCTCTTAATCGGGGTGGAAATTTTGAACTCTTGTGAGTCGTGAGTTGTAATTCCCAGTCTTACAGAAACTCAAAATTTATGGCTGGAGTAGGAAATATCTTTGAATGCCCAATTTTTTGTTGCCAAATTTTTATGACAAAAATGAGGAATGAAGTCTATATAGAGCTATGACATCAGGAAAAATTTGCACCCTGACGAGGCCCCAAATTCTGAGCCTACTAAGAGAGGAATCAAACTTTGACTCCAGTTCGGCAAAAAAATTTCCTCTAAGACTGACTCAGGAGAATTTTATCTCCAAATTCTCCAATATCTATTGGTATGATACACAATAACACTAACAATAAATTTTGTCCTTAGAGTCGCGACAATGGAGTTGGCCAATATATACCTTATCAGAATGAAGTTCCTTCCCATCAAAATGGGGAATACCCTTTTGCGGAGAGGGGTGAAGTAGAAGGAATGGAAGATTATGGGGAGGTTTTGGATGGAAATCATATTCAACAACAACAATTTATTCAATATAATCCGCAAAGAAATGCTCACCCGAGCACAACTGACTCTTTAACCCCCTCTCCTGGTTCGAAATTATCATATCGACAATCATACCCACCTAATACTTCGAAATATGGTAGGCCGAAACATGACGATTACAACAGATATGGACATAACTCGCCTCACGTAAGTCATGTATGATGATTTTATAGTTTCTATCCCTATACTATCTGTACTTCTACTCCTTTGTCCTTTCGCTTCAACATGCTTCTATGCCGGCATAGTCCAACACTCCAACGACTATTACTTCATCTACATATGGTTTGGTTTACAAAGTTGTTGTTGTAGCTAAAAATATCTTTTCTATAGCCAAGGCCTCACTGTACCAGTGCACATGTAGGACGCTTTGTTCTACTATTTATAATTTAAGGAGCATCATATTTTATTTCAATTATGGTCTATTATTGAGATATATCACTTATTAATAATATCTATTTTTCATATTTTAGGATATATCTGTTGAAAGTTCGCCTGCCGATCCCGGTTCTAGAGAAAGAGATAAACTGCAACAACAATTTACCAGCGTAGCAAATGGTAATGATAAACTTGATTTAAATTGAAACTGATATTTTTTATATTTAAGTCGCTCGAAAACAAAAAAAATATCTTTGAAATTAGTGAATTTTAAAATGATTTTTACTGAAGAATTAGTATTTTTCTTTGGGTAATGAAAGGCAGACTAGCTTTTTCATACTTTCACTACAAATTACTTTTCATCTTCCTATGTTTAGAATGTGATATGTATTATTTAAATCTGTTGGACATTGCAAGAGAAGAACGACAGTCGCATTATAAAGCAAATTGAAGCAAGCTGGCCTGTGGGATAGATCACATTTGCATAAACTATGAAGCGTTCCTTATCGTTGAATATTAATAAAGTCAAATTGTCAGAGACAAAGGCTTAAATGTAAAATATAGCTCACTCTGTTTTTTTTACTAATTTCCCATATTTTGTGTTTCAGATGTCCGAGGAGATAATGGTCAACAGATGGCGCAACTTCAAATATTATACAAAGCAAGAGGCAAAAAGATCGATGAAATATCTCGAGAACTTGAAGATTTAAAAAATGAATCTGCGAGAGAGAAAAGAATTCTGAACCATCAGCTTGCCATGGCTAAAGGTAACAATTCTAGATATACAACAAGATTTCCAAAATGATTTATTTTTATCGGTTTCAAAATGATTATATTCAATATTTAAAATATTTTAATTTTAGGAAATTATCATTTAGGGAATTGAAGGTCATTTTATTTTCCTAAAATTGGGAAAATAGAAAATTATCAAAATCATTGTTATTCAAAATATTATTTTAAACTGTAATATAATTAATAATATTTGTTTTTGGCCATTCCTGAGGCCTATCTACAATTCAATCGTTCGCTTGATTTCAAAACCTTAACCTGGAAAATGGGGCTTTCTATATTACCTATTTTTTATCTTAAATGAGAGTGTGCGTTATCTAAGCTTGAACTTTGGACCAACTCACACTAGATTTACCTTGGAAGTTGATTACCAGTTTCAGAACTCATTACAAACACAACCTCGGCGTTGTTGCGCATCATGCTAAGCGTTAGGAATACGCTCACCATTGTACCTCTTCGCAGTTTCAAATCACATGTGGGGATAGTTATGTGCGAGAGGATTGCTGGACTCCTCGTCGCCGTGGGGTGGGTCACATAACCACTGCCTGGCTGGTCGGTTACGGCTTCCTCCACCATCAAGTCCATGCATCTGTAAACAAATAACTGGCTAATCCCATACCCGACATGGAATGGTAACCGGATGAGAGGCCGGGGTTCGCCATATGACTAAGCCGTCTTATTGGCTTTCCTCTCCCCTGGGATAAATATGTAAATTCTATCTTAGTCATGACAATTTTAATTTCGTATTTTTCGAAGTAATTTCAGAATTCAGAATCCAAATTTATGTGTAAGAAGTGAGCATGCCCTTTTTATTCAATAATAAGGAAAAATTAAAAAGATTTTTTGTTTTTAAGATCAAAAAGATGGAATGGGAACAAGCTTAGAAGAATCTCAACGATTAACTCAATCAAAAGATCGAGATATTGAAGATTTAAGATCAAGATTAGATTCACAACATTCTGAAATTGAAGCTTTGAAATCTAATAAAAATGAGGTGAGAATTCTCGGTTATTGCTTTACGGAATTTGAACTATGGTATCCCTACAAGGATTATTCTAACTATTAATACTTCATTGATTAATCTTGGGCTACACCCTAGTGCAGTGGAGGGCAATTTACGGCCTACGGGCCAGATCCGAAATGTTCCATCTAGCCCACTTTTGTCTGCGGAAATTATGACTGTAATTTATATGAACATAAATTTCTGTTCAAAATATCGACATTGTAATTAACGTCATAATGACTTCGATTGTTACATTGTGCTTCTTATTATAATATAAACGTCAGCCCAGCTGTTGGACTAGCGTTTGTAAATAAACTGTTTTTCATTCAGAGTTTTCATATGGAGTTTTGAGGCTCCGGCCCAGTAACCAAGTCTGGTACTGTAACTGGCCCACGCAGAAAAGTAATTCCCCACCCCTGGTCTAGCGTTAGCTTTGGCTATGTTGGCATTGCAGGTTAGACATCTCAAGTTCAAATCTTGTGAAAACCGAGTAGGCAGAAATGTCAAACCTTCCAAATATAGCACCTACAGCTAAATTGAAAATATTCTATTCCAGAGCTTTCTAAACTTTCAAGCTCATGAAATGGCCCTCCGGTCGTAGTTTTAATATGTGCGGGCCAGACCATTCCAGAATTTTTTGATTAATAAATTAGCTTTCTCAAAAAGTTTTATCCATTTTCATAAGAATACCTCTAATTTTGAATTTTTCCTCAATTTTTTTAGCTTTTAACAAAGATCCAAGTTTCTGAACGAACTATTGAAAGTCTTCATGAACAACTGACACAAATGAGCCACTCTGAGGCGATAGAGAGAGCAAGAGATCAACACGATGCCGTACTCAATGCTCAGACACAACGCCATGAAATGCAAGTTCTTGAATTGACGACACAACTTGATGAATGCAGACAAGAAATGAATGAAAAGGTAGAATTTATTTTTGATTTTTGTGCTGCTATGGGGGCTGTGGAGCAGTGTTAACTCTAAGCAAATTATGAGTGCGAAAGTGCTTCGCAGTCGAAAAAAAAAGTGCGAAAGTGCTTTTGCCGATTTTAACAAGTTAGGTGCCCTAGCCTTTCATATAACCCATTTAAAACGGCATAGATACTCAAAAAAGCGCTCCTCCGGTTAATATTATGAATTAAAGAGAAGCCTTTTCGTTAGCCGAGTTCCCTTTAAGCGAATTCATGTTTAATTAAAACAAGCGAATTCATCGGCAACGAAATGACATCTGCTAACACCTGCCGGGACAAAACTTTCATGCAATGTATCAAGGTGTCAGTTGCTTACTCGCGTAAACAGCAAAGACTTTCACATTTGTTACTCCTTCCATCTAACAGACACGAGGCAGGCTGGAAACCATATTAGTTACAGGGTGGATCGCTTGTACAAATCCCGTGCAAAATAATCCCCCCCCCCCCCCCCCCCCCCCCCCCCCCCCCAAATATAAATAGCAATCAACTAATTAGGGTTAGGTGCGCTGGAAATTCAACTTTTCGATTTATCCCTAAACCTAATCTGATAATTATTAATTTGTGATTTTGAACCACTTTGAAAGTCGCCACCCGCTGTTTCAAAAGATAAGTTAACCTAGGTTCCCTCCGAAATATTACGCAGGATACTCCCCTGTTTTATGAGATAGGTTGACCTACTTTCCTTTCAAACCTTTCTCTCCGAAATATTACACAAGATCACTTTGAAAATCCTCCCGTTTCGTGAGCTAGCGTGACCTAATTTCTCATTTACATTTATATTATACTATTTCAGAGCTTACCCAAAGACAAGTAATTTTTAAATGTCGACATGCCTTGGTTTGTGAGCGAGTTAGTTTAAATCGGGCAGAAAACTTCATATATTGGCAAAATGTTCAGTAATGTCATGAACTTGCAGCATTCATAAATAGCACTTTGTAATGCTGCTGACCTAGTATCAAATATTCGCATCACAACGCCACTTGCGAGGTTTCCATATATTTCAATTACACTAATAGGAACGATGACACCAAGGTTTTGCGAAGGTACACTAAATATAACGAGGGTGATTCTTGAGAAAAACATGAATATAAAAAATAAACGAATGATATGATAGTGGATCCCAAATAATTTTGAGAGTGTCTCGAAATACCAATCCATTTGATAAATAATTTTCATTCGACCACATGAACGCTGATATCCTGAAAATTAATGTTGAAAGAGAATTACGCATTCTCAGGTATCGGACATCCAGTCGCGATATTCAATCGTTCATATGCACAAATCTCACATTAATAGTAATTGCTACCCAAGTTTGTAAAGTTTAGAAACCAACAAACAGAAAATAACTTATCCTAAAACACAATTAAAATTTAGTCGGCAATAAATTTGTCGCCAAGACGATGCCATACAAAACAAAAAAGATTTGGTCGCGAGAGTTACGTATGATGAAAAAATTTATAATTAATAAACGGGAGTTACGACGCCCTTTACACATCGTGTGTATTAAACTTCCCTGGTAAGTACTTTGGTAAGTACTATTATTATTGTACACCTGTTGGAGTATTTCGGACAATTTCGAATTTAAAATAAATGAAAACCCGACATATAATTAAGACGCAAAAGTAAAATGAACATTTATTGAAAAAGTTATTATTTAAGAAAGACAACATGATCGTACAATTCCGCCAAAACCTCGATGTTCGCAAGTGAAATGATAAATAAATACTTCCCTGTATTCGATGAATTAACTTTAGCGTATCGTTGTTCTGCCAACAAACAGCAGGGTGCAAAATATTTCCGTCCTGTGATATGCTCACAAATATTCTCGATATTAATATCATACCCTCGCGTATGTACTTTCTATTAGCTCTTTAGTGATCCCTTCAATCCTTGGCCAAGTCATGTTTCGAATATGTGAACATTTTATTCGACCATACGTGGCCGGCGGGATGTTCAAATTGTAAACAAGAGAGAGGTAAAATCAATCGCGAATTTCGTTATAACGGCTCGTTTACGAATTGTTGCGCCTGTTATCGTCGAAAATGATTACATTTGTTGTATTTTGAGGCATTTAAGCAGCAATAATTAGGGCATGACATCATCAAAATCGTCAAGTGAGATCTTGAAATTGCAAATTCCGTAAATAAAATTGTGAATTATTCGGTAACGAAATCAGCTTTTAATGACCGTCGGGGTATTGTTTTGTTGAAAATTATTATTAATGTGAGAGCGCCAAAAACATACAGTCCATATCGTGCGACTGCAATTTATATGGTCGCAATTGGTGTGGCGCGTTTATTAATAGTATAAAATAAATTAAACCAATATCAATTATAACCAAGCCTGTCAGCGTGTTTATTTTCTGTTGGCAGGAATCGTAAAATACCATCTTGAGACAAATTCACTTCTATTATAAAATCTTAATTTTCAGTTATTATCGTTATACAAATAACGTGTGGCAACTTTTTAATTTATCGTCGACCAAAAAACCGTCCCACACTCGTCCAAACGTGTGTCGAGCTTGAACGACAGGAACAGATTCATCGACGACCTTAATTAGGGGAAAAAGTATTTTATTGGGAATGCAAAATAAATGTCACAAAACGCATTTTTTTGTGATATAACTTTGTATTTCCGGAAACGGGTTGCCGTGAAAGGTAAAATTTGATCTAAATTAATCGCAAAAATGTTTTATGTTAAATGTAACAAAACACATTTTCGCAATATAACCTTGTATTTTCGGAAACGGGTGTCCTGAAAAGTAAAATATGATCTAAATTAATCGCAAAAATGTTTTATTTTAAATGTAACAAAACACATTTTTCGAGATACAACTGTATTTTCGGATACCGGGTGTCATGAAGAGTAAAATATGATCTGAATTAACCATAAATAATGTTTCATTCCAAATGTATCATAACGCATTTTTTGCGATATAACTTTGTATTTTCGAAAACGGGGCGTCACGAAAATTATTAATCTAATGTTTTATCTATCGTCTAACTAACGTCTGGAACACATCATTTTCGGGGAGAACTCTAGCCCGCGAAACGTCATTTAATTTAAAATAGAGAATGTTTCACGCATTTCAAAACGGAAAATCACCAGTAAGCGGACTGGGATTCAACCCTCCGGATTCAGTATTCTATATCCCCCCTGTCAGAAATTTCTGAAGAATGGAACAAAGAACCCGTCAAACCGCCGCGGAAGAAGGGGAGTATTTTTTGCGCTAATAATTAGGGCGTGACAATATCAAAATCGTCAAGAAACTGGTGAATTTGCAAATTCCATAAATAAAATTGTGAATTGTTGGGTAACATTTTAGCTATAATTATCGCCGGGGTATTGTTTTGTTGAAAACACGTTGAAACTTGAGGGAATTAGTTACAATTAGCGCCTGACCTCTATTAGGCACTCGAGCACTCGAAAAAAAAAGCACTCCAGCCCAATTAAGTCGCATACGTAAAATATCCTGTAAAAGAAGTGCTGTTCATTAACGTCATCTCGTCTTAGGACCACGCAGAAATGCCTTTATTGCCGAATTATTCAATCACTATTTTAAATCAACATTCAGGATTGGCACAATTTCAGATTTGCGAAGTTTATCACCATAGAAATACATGGGAAAGTTAATTATCGTCTTAATAAATATCTGCATCACGGTATGGACAATAATATTACCATTAGCATAAAATTGGGACGGTAAATTTACAAATCTTGATAGGTAATATTAAAGCCAACGCAAATGTTAATTTGAGTCCTCAATGTCTTCAACAGCTGTTGCCGATGTGAACGAACGGGTAAACCCGAAATATAAAACTTCGATGTCCGCCGACCCACAAGAATTCATATTTGTAAAAAAGAGAGGGCGGGAATATAGATTACCCAATACCTGGATATCGCCGCCAAAACGATCGGTGACAAGAACAATTAGCGATTACAACGGAATTAATCAGTAAAAAGGCTTTGTTGCCGATTTTTTAATGTTTCCACCACGTTTATTCGGTACTCCTTAGAAATATTCGATTCAAAAAAATATTGAATTTTGCCCACACGTCCTCGCATATCAATGAGAAATAGTTGTGTAAATATCGCAAAATTACGGAAAATGCCACTCCTTTCAACATTGTGATTACAATAAAATGGCACTTATTGGTATTTTGTGAATTTGGTGATTTTGCAAATCTGTGACATGCTGCTAAAAGTTTGGTCTGATTTGAAAATCGTGCAGTTTGGTCACAATTCATCCAAAGTGACTATAACACATAACACTTTTAGAGTCATTTTGAATGCATTGATAGTCACATGACCACTCTCTTCAAAGAAACGCACTGCGTATTATTCCAACATCTGGTTTCAATCACCCGAGAGCGTTTTTTGCGGGAGAAGCGGAATCGGTGTGCTTGTATAATAATCATATTACAAACAAGAATTTATCTCCTATGTCTGCATCTCATAGGTTAGAATTCCGGTAAATATCGTTATGATATGCAGAATTGAGTTACAAAAGTACTAGTATGTTACTTATTTGTCAACTTAATACTCGAAAATATTTGTTAACTTTGAATTTTTATCCCATTCAAAATCGGAAAAAAGTGCTATTTCTCTTCAAAATCGGAAAAAAAGTGCTATTTCGCAGTCCCTAAAAAAAGTTGCGAAAGTGCTTCGCAATTTTCGCAAAAAAGTGCGCTAATAGTGAACACTGCTGTGGAGTTTGCTGAAGTTTGCAACCAATTCACACTCCAAACTCTGAGCAATTTTTGAAGATCTCTCTGATTTGACAAAAATTATAATTCCAACTTGGAATTCTGAAAAAATTGAATTTTGATAACAAAAACTTTGGTAAATACGAACAAGTAGGAATGCTTAAGTGATTTGATGTTTTTTTCTCTTCACTTAGCACTATTAAAAGTCTAAGACTTGGATACTGGAGAATTTAACATTTTGTCTTCAACCCACGACTATTTGGAGTGAGAGAGTTTAAAAATACTTACAGTCACACTCACTCAGACACAAATGAGACTCTCTGAGTAAAGTTATGGTCAACCACTAAAGTAACAAGATTTAAATTGATTTACTGATATACCTATGCGTGTACTGTATTAAATCCTGATAATGTCATCAATGCTTTCGTGTTAAATTTTTTTTTCCTTCATCTTTTCAGACTGAAGAAGTTGACAAACTCCGATTTCATCTTAATAAAATATCTCGTGAATCAGAACAAACATTGCTTGATAAAACAGAGACAATAAACAGGCTGACCAAAAGTTTGGAAGATGCTCAGAATCAGTGCCAAGTAAGTAATTTGTATATCAGGGATGCCCCCCTAGACTGGCGGGCCGGAATATAGTAACAATAACTGTATGTAGTGCATGCAGAATTGGTTAAAAGTTGAAATTAATGGCAGTATCAAGCGGGCTAGATTGATTCACCCAACGGGCTTTAGTTTGCCCATGCCAGTTGTTTATTATACCTCAAGGTTCCTGGTATCATACAAAACCATCACATGTGAAAAAATGCTGATTCTGTTTTAGGGTGGTTCACATGATAATTGATGACTTTGGTACATTATTAAAAATTCAAGTTAGCAACCTGGCATATTTCCTAACCTATTTCCATATTTGTTAGATACTGTTCTTTGCCATATTATTACTAAATACTATCTATCTTGCAGATAGTGTTGAGTTTCTAAGGTTTTATTGTAAATGTTAAATTGACATCTCTGTTTCAGGGCCTACTCGCTGGTTCAAGTGAAAATGCATTCGCTCGACATCAAGTCGGTGATTTATTAGAAGAACGAAAGAAAAACGAAGAAGAAATCGCCTGTTTGAAGGTTAGAGGATCATGTTACTAAACATATGCTTTCTACATCTACTACAGTGGTTCTCAAACTTTTTAATCCGTGCCCCCTTTTTAGAATTTGTCAATTCTCGCGTCCCACCACAAAAATAACCAGCTAACAATAAGCTACAAGTAACAGATAGTGAGGCGAGAGTATGTTTTATTTAAAATGTGAATGGAATCTCAATGAAATGTAGATTTCTAAACTAAGGCGGACAAGATCAAATCTAACAAATATTTTTTTCATTCAACTTCACGCCTCCTTATTAAAAATTGTACACGCCCCTTTTGTGGAGCGCACTTCATCGTTTAAGAACCACTGATCTACTATATTGTTATTTCTTTCCAATTTTGTTAAATTTTAATCAAAAGAAAACCTGATATTCAATTGTGAATGCTCATGGACAGCTCTGATTCAACTGATTTATTACACCTGTTAAGAAATTTTATTTTTGAGAACTTCACATTTCAACATTGACTAAGTTTTAACTGTCATATCAGCTTTCCTGTGCTCCAGAAGTGTGTGTACCAATATGGATGTAACTAATTTTGTTCGCCTATTTTATATCAAGTTGTGTAAAGGGACTGAAACCTATGGGCATGGGGTATATTCACTTGGCTAACACAGACAGTCCCTGAACTCGTATAGAACTAAAATAAGGAAAATCGGAATAAAATGATCAGAAATTACTAACCTGGTACACACACTACGGGAGTACTATCTTTCCTCCCGGAAAAACCTAGAATCCTATCCTTTACTATAGATGCAAGCCAGGGATGCTGAAGAACATCTGAAACTATATGAGAACGCACTTCAACTTGGAGCATCGAACACTGGAGGGCCTCGTAACATTCATACACGGGGAGGAAGTTTGTCTGATTCTCTCAGCGAACTCATGAACAATGATGTCGCCAGAAAGTTAGATTGGAAAACGCCAAAAATTAATAAGGTAAATGCTTCTTATGTAGAACAGGTTATTTTACTGGCTTCATGGCTTGGCAAGGAATCTTTAGCTGTAATGCACATCCTTGAACTTTTACATTAGCATCAGACCATCAGCAGTATCATCATATATTTTTGAATTATTGCTGGAACAAGCTTCTCGAGTTTTTTGTTGTTTCAAAAATCGCTCAAAATATCTTTTGGGTCCCAAATTGAGTCTTCTTGGCTGTTAGTCGAGTCCGAGTTGGGTAGAGTTCTCTAGTTTACACGACTTTTATTACTTTTGAGTCTTTGAATAATGTGACTGCAGTCTCCCCATGACTGACTGGGCCACGAGAAACTATTTTCTATAGCTTACTCGAATAACTAGCATTCAAACAGTTTCTAGCTCCTTATCTATATCAGAGGTAAATTTGGCAAGCACAAAATTCACATTTACCTTTACTCACGTAAAAGGTATCGTTCTTTTTTATTACATAGTGGTCGTTGAGTGAGTAGTAGATCACATCGTCAAGTATTCTTCCTAAACCTTTGTTGTGAAGCCAGTATTAATTGTAAACGAGGTGCCACTGTCTACCGCCACCCTGTGATTAGATGATCATACCTCAAATAGTTTAATTCATAAAGTTATTCTCTGCCAAAACTTTTATAATCTAGGCCAGGGTTGTGCAACCTGCGGCCCGCGTGCCAATTTTGAATGGTGTGCAGCCTACGAAACGAGTTTTTATTTTAGTTCAATCAAGTATGTGCGAGTAATTCAAATTCCTCTGTGTTGCAAAGGCTATATCTCGGCTTGTGGGAAGGGAACAACGCATATCATAAGATCAATAACTGAAATGTTTGTGCCTGCAACTATTAGAAAGTCTATGTTAAAAAAAGGTGTGGCCGCAGTTTTACCCAGTTATTTGTATCTGGGCCCTTATGTATCGAAGGTCGCACACCCCTGATCTAGCCGCTCTAGTCAGAAAATATAATTTTTCAATCGTGTAATAATCACTGTCCTATTTCAGTCTCAATCTGAAGAAACAATCTCAGGAAGTCAAGAAGAATTAATTGATGGGTTGAGGAGGGAATTACAGAGAGCTTTGAATTGTAATAAAGCAAAGAGAGATGAGGTAAAGCTGCTTTTTGTGTCTTACAGATATATAGAATACCGCTCTAGCTCTTAACTTGACGTTTTCTTCTAAAATTTAGTGTTGATAGCATATGAGGTGGTTCCCAAAGGGTGCATCACGACGAGTTGCTTAGTGCGCCTCAAAAAATGTCAGAATTGTAGTAAACTTAACGAAAACATGTTTGAATTTGAAAAGTTTGATAAAAGGGTTGTTATCGTCGCTATATACTTGGATACTCTTTAAATAATCTGTGTTAAAGTTTTCATCCTTTATCGACTCCAGGTCACAAAACTCAAACAACAATGTTCCGAACTTGTTGATGAATCTTCTCACTGGAGAACGAGAGCCGATGAAGCTAAATCACAACTCAAACTTGTAAGTAGTTTGTTACTGAGTGATTAAAGATAATTTTCTAAATTTTTATAAAAATGGCTTAGATGTTGGTTAATTGGTCTGAGGATGATATTTGTCATAATAAGTGGGGGGTTACTAGTTGAAAATCTACTCAAACCAGTGCTCATCTCACGAAGGGTATGGAGAATTGGATGTCGTATCGTATGTTACTCATGAAATATCTCGTTCATTCTAAAAGAACCATCTTGTCAAAGTGTCTGCTCATGCAGAGCCTTGTTCAGAGCGTAGGTTCAAAACACTTTCAACAAAACTAAATGTTATCATGCTTAATACCAGTATTGAATATTGAAAATAAGCTACCTCCAATATATAGCGTGTCCATGAAGCCTTAAAAAAATTTTTTAAGTTGCAAAGGGATTTTATCAATACCTTATATTGCTTGGTCCTTATTGATGTATTAAATGAAGTAAAAATACTTGAACAAGTACTGATTTAATTACAACAAACCTGGTTAAGATATATTGAGAACTGACTTCATAACAAAATGGAAATTGTAAAAGGACTTCATGAACACCCTGTATTAGTTATGATTATACAATTTCAGATGTTTGTCAATTTTTGCAATCTGTGTAATTACAACTATATTACTGAATTAATATTTCAGACCACGTCAACATCAGCAGAGAGAGCTGACATAGAAAACAATCAAATTCTAATTCAAGAGTTTGAAGAAAAACTGAAGGAAGCACAAGATGAAGTGGAAAGGTAAATATACATGATTTTTTTTGCTCTTGTCGCTGTGTTAAATCTTTCTCCAATTTGCCAGTTGCCTTTTTACTTTTTTGTGCGGCCCAGCTAAATGTCTGAAGTTGGTTATATGGCCCACTGACAAAATATATTGCACACCCCTAGTCCCTAATGGTGGGCGATTCAAGTATTTTCAAAGTTAATAGTCCTTTATGTATCTATGGCGGTACTCCCATAGCATGTGTACCAGGTTAGAGTTAGGCTATAATTTTATCCAGATTTTCTCTATTTTAGTTCTATTACGAGTTCAGGGACTGTTTGCGTTAGCCCATAGGTTTCAGTCCCTTTGTACAACTTGATGTAACGCAGGCGAACAAAATTAGTTACCTCCATGTTTTGGTACACACACTTCTGAAGCGTCTCTGTGGCTGCTTTATTAAAGCCATGAAAGAAATGAAAGCCAGAGCAATATTTTATTTGTTTATTCTCAGACTCGAACAAACCAACAGGGAAGTAAAACAAAGAATGGTTGAAATGATTCAGGAACATGATCAGGATAAACAGGATGCCGTGGAAAGGTATGAACAACAAAAATAAGGAAAAATATGAGAACTTTTCATTGTTTGTTACAATTTTTTATTCAATAATAAATGGTTGGCCCATTAGGGCGAGCACCAACAGCACACTCGTCATTGTACTGCATTAGTTCAAATGTGTTGAGGATGGCTCACTTTTTCACAACAGCAAGATAGTTTACATAGCTATTGGCCAGTTGGGGCTACCTCAACCATGAAATTAGCGATTAATTGGGTAACTGTTCTTATACCGAACCTGGGACTGGTGACATGACTAGTAAGGGCTCTCGATTAAAGAACATCGGTTTTCGAGAGAGACTGACATGACCATTTTGTCAAGTCAAGTTACCTTATTTCAATGTGAAATATCTTGCTATGATCACCCACCCTAACAGTATTGACTGTTGCTTTTCATTGATTTATGTATTACCGTATATCTTATTAACCCAGATGTGAAAGAGCATTGATGCAATTACATGAAGATGCAAAACAAACATTACGAGATGAATTAATGGCTGAACATGAACAAAAACTTTATGAAATATCAGTGGAAAACGATGCAAGGATCAGAGAGTTGAGGTAAATACAACCCAAGATTTGAAAATTGAAAACTCTCGTCTAAGTTGCTGATTGCTCAGTGTCTTGTTTTGAGTGACGTTGCGAAACAGGACATAGAGAAATTTTCTAAAAACTAGTTTTTCATTCAACTAGTGTGTTTAATAATTTCATATTTATTTTTGCGGAAGTGTATTTGATTTGTAGTGCATATCTCATGTCTAAAAATCTAAAAATCTAATCTTCTGTCTACAAGGCAGTTCAATAGCTTTCTTCTTGGGAGGCTATTCAACTGGCAATTTGAATCATATATTCATCTCTAATTCTAACCTGCTGCCCATATTGCAGCCCAGCCCTTTTCCAAACCTACTTTCAATATGGCAGCCAAATAAGCTCTCTACAGAGGATGCCACTAAAATACCTATTCCTATTCTCAACTGTTTTGCTCATAATATAGGGTGTCCATAAAGTCCTAAAATTGTTTACAATTTCAAAGAGAGTTTCTCGATACCATAAATTGTTTTGGCCCTGACAGATGTATTAGATGAAGAACAATACTCAATCAATTACTGATTAAAAAACAACAAACCTTGTTGAGATATATTGAAAACTGACCTGATGAAACCTGATATGTGCAAACTTTGGCCCGATGCCGAATCTGGACCGTTGGGTAGTTCAATTGAGCCCGCACGATGCTGCCACAACCCAACTAAAACCCAATTTTGATGTTTTAGCTGAAAAATTGTTCAAGGATTTTGCTGAGGTTGCGATTAAATTTAGTTTTGGCACGAGGCTTATTGTTTTTCGCATTTACTTTTGCAACACTGTGAATATTAATCATAAAATGTAATTTGCCCACCCCTGGATTAAACTGTTCTGTTGCTATTGTTCATTATTCTTTCTTTTTCAGTACTGAGCTGGCAGAGCTTCAGCATGAATTGCACGATGTCAAACAAAGTTACGTTCATGTTTGTGCAGAGAAAGATAATATTCAATCAAATGTGCAACAGGAATTAACTGAACAATATGAAAAGGTAGCAATTGTGGGTTTCTAACTTAGCAAAAGATTTTTCTGTTGTTTTAATATTCAGTTGACATTTTTGAATCATGATTGTCTAGTACAGATAATTTTAATTTGCAATAAAAATGTAAAAAACTGCAAAGTAGTTCAAAAGTACCTTAAAAAAAGTTTTGTATATAGTTTTCAGAATAATTGTCGGGCATGGCTTTCGGTACTCATAGTGTGTTAAACTGTAAGCTAACCCCTCATCTGTCCTGGCCTGAACTAGGTAGGAACTGGATGAGACAATGTGCTCGACACTATTTTCTCTCCTAGGATAATTATGAAAAATACTATTCTGTTGCATTACTAATTAGCATGTTTGATCTTCGCAGCTTTTAATCTTGGGAGTGGTAATCATGTGTGAGAATTTGATGATATTTCAATTTTAATAATTATTGTAATTTTGACAAATTACGGGTAGCAATTTTGATGATATTTCTTTTCCATAATTATAAGTCCTTCAAAAATTTGTAACATTTCCAGTGGTTTAAAGTAGTGAGGCAACCTTTAATACAGGAGGGAAGATATTAGTAACTGGGTTAAACAACGGGCCGCAGCTTCATTTAATATAGGTTTTCTAGTAGTCACATTTTATGCCATGCGTTGTTCACTTCACACAAGATTGTTTGGGGGGGGGTCACACACCATTCAAAATTGGCACTTCTCCATGGCTCGCACAATTTTCCCCCGCGGGCCATAGGTTTCACACCCCTGGTTTAAAGAATAGGACTCAGCTATGTTATTATAACAAGTTACGAGCTCTGGTTTAAATTCCATGCCCACCATCTCATCAAGGATGCAATAAATTGTGCAGGCAATGTCGAGCCGGATAGATCCCGGTTATGCCAAAAATAGTGGCTTATTACATATCATTAGGGCTGGGCATTTTTAAATACCTGATAATTTCAGAATTGAATCAATATCGAATACTCGTAATCACTCAAAATTATTAAATGTGACTTTTTCATTGTAATCTGTCCTCCAAACACATAAATTACTGAAAACATAGAATCCATCATTTATATATATAGTTCGCTGAATGTTCGAACGCAATGAGAAACATGTTTCAGCAATAACTAACTAGGAAATACCAATCATATGTTTGAATTGCATTGTAAAAATATGGCAAAAAAAATTGTAAAATTCACCTCAACCTTTGGCAGATAGAAAAAAAATCAAGATGACGGCGATTCGAAATTATGAAAAATACTATTCTGTTGCATTACTAATTTCGAAATTTTTGTCTGAACCGATTTAATAATTTAAGGTTCAAAATGCCAACCCACATATCATAGATGGGCGCTTCAGAAGTATGTGTGCCAATATAGATGTAACTAATTTTGTTCACCTACTTCACATCAGGTTGTGTGAGGGGACTGAAGCCTATGGACAGGAGGTATATTCAATTGGCTAACACAGACAGTCTCCGAACTCGTAATAGAACTAAGTTAAGGAAAATTGGAATAAAATTATGGCCTAACCATAACCTGGTACACACACTACGGGAGTACCCATAGATAATTGCTCATAGCCATGCTCTATTGAAAGACCTAAAAAAAATTCATGTAGTAAAATTTGCTTGGCTTTTTAGGAAAAAGAAGAATTTGCCACTGATCATGAAAATGCAATAAAGAAACTTGAGAAAATGTTGAGCGATTTGGAAATTGAAATGAATGTGAAGATAAAAGAAGAGAAAGAGAACTGTGAGGGCGAGTGGGAGAAAGAAAGAGAGAAAATAATCGGAGAGTTGAGAGATGAGTGGGAAAAAGAGAAAGAAGGGGAATTTACACAGAGAATAGAAACTCAGGTGGGTGGAAACTGAACGAACTATGGCTTAGTGCACTCTTGTAAATTATGTGTTGCATGTTATGTAAATTATGTGTTGCATGTTATTCAATATAATACTAGACTAAATCATTGGGATTCCTATATACAGTAATTAGTGCTCCAGAAGTATTCGTATCAAGATGGCGCACAACCTGAACATAGTATGTGTACCAGGTTAGGGCTGTTCAGGTTGTGCATCATCTTGGTCCGAATACTTCGGAGTTATTTAAGTTTTAATTAGGGTTCCCGTGATATTTGTAGCTTAAAGAAGTTAGTGAACATGCACTACAACACCTTTCAATCTAAAATGCCTACGTTTTAAACCTTACTTAAGGTTTTCTTTGCTCTCCCGTTTCTGTAATCAGTTTTATTTATTTTATTTTTATCAATTATTTTATCGTCTATTGTGCTGATTATGGGAGTCGAAATGAAATTATTCTTATCCACTTGTAATCCCGCAACAGTTAAATGGTTGGTGCGTTCCGATAAGCATTTGAGATAAGCAGCAGCATGCTTTTATAAATTGACGTAAAAAATAATTTTGAAAAATGGTCGATGGACTCATTGTTCTCGCATGGTGTTGGTTGGTTATGACTTCCTCAACCATCTCGCAGGGTGTTGGTTGGTTATGACTTCCTCAACCATCTGCATGAATGCATCTGGAACGATAAAATATATCATCGCTGATTAAGCGGTGTTAGCTTGGGAGGAATGCTGATCTTCTTGCTGTTCTATATTCTCTCGGCCTCACAATCTTCTAACCAGGGTTTCTTAAACTTTTAGGCTCGCAACCCCAATTTTTTAAAATTTTCCACATTTCCTGTTTCGAGTAGTGCCTCGCTTATCTTACGATCAAAGTCGGCACCGTTATGCAAGCACACGGCTTCTCTGATCCTATGTATTCTCTCAAAATCATGAAATTTATGTTTTTCACTAGTTTTGATAATTGTGTTTCGAGTCAAAAGTCTAAAAAAGTACAATAGATATTGTACTTTATGTGAACTTGGTATACTCCTTGCACCCCCTAGAATTCATTGCCGGCCCCTCTTCGAAGTCCCGAACTCCAGTTTGGGAAGCCCTGTTCTAAACTACAAATAGCCCAAACCTACATTCTTATGGCTACAAAATACTTAATTAAAATTTCTCCTATTTTAGATTGCTCTTGCTAAAGTGAACTGGTTTGAAGAATTTTCCAATTCCAAACAGAAAGCGATTCATACTGCAGTGAAAGCAGAGGAAGAAAAATGGAATAAGAGGTAATAATAATATATGAAGCAAAAGCCAATAAAAAAGAATCGGTCAAATCGATTTTGTTGGCCTTTCAGGCAAACGATCATAAGAAAATAAAACAGAATAATCATGCCTGTGCCCAGATGGGACGGGATATCCAAGAAATGACCATCTAGTAGAATTGTCATCGAGTACCTTGCAATAGATTTTTGAATACATCAAAATTTTTGCAGTGTTAGTGAACACATTTGAGACAAGTTAGCACTATTTGTCTATATCAGGGTTCAACCTGAAATAAATTTATAAAAATGAAAATCAATTAATGTTTCTGAGTAAATTTAAATTACTTTATTCAATGACTCGGATGTATTTGCTGCTTTGTGTTTAAAATATATTCAGTATATTAACCCTTTCCGTGCGGTGGGCACGTATGCGTACCCACGACAAAAGTCGCTAGATTGCGGCGGGTACGTTGATGTACTCCGCTGTTTTATTTAGCAATCAGTCGCAAACTGTTGGTCAATTTTTTCCGGGTTTTAGTTTATTGATAAGAAGTCTTCTTCGAGATTAACATAAGCGACGGTAAATCTCGCTTTCGTTTACGACGGGAATTTTATTTGCGGCGGAACGAGGGAGTGTTTTTAAAATTTATGCAAATTTCCGTGTTTTTTGGGTGGTAATAGAAGACATATTATCCCTTCCATCTACCAAAGTATTTTGAGTTAGATCACGAAATTGCTACAGCAATATTATGCTATTGTTTGCCAACCACGAAGCGGTAACAGTAAAGGATTTAGCGAATATTTCTTTTTTTTATCACGGTTTGAGTTTCAACTCCCCAAAAAAAAAATGCCTTTTTTCTATCCGGTTTGTGACTCAGACCACCACTTTTAAAAAACCTTTTTTTTTAATCAAATGCATTTTTTTTAAACAAATGCATAAAATCGGCGTAGCAAATGCGATTATTTAATACAAAATAAAAATCGCATGGAAAGGGTTAATGAATAAATAAATAGCTTGCAAAGCTTAAGTTTCTCTCACAGAGCACCCTGGGAGTATGTAGCACCTAGAGAACCTATGGGTCTATATTATATTTGTGTTTCCATGTTCTTTCGAATTATATATTGGTTTATAATTTCACAGGATTGAAGAGCTCAGGCAGGATTGGGAAGAGAAGAAAAACCATGAATTAGAAAGAAAAATGAATGAAGAGCAAGAAAAATGGAATTTACTGAAGGTATCAACTATTGATGCTATTTTTGAATTCCTGAATAAAATTGAAGAAGCATTTCAGAAATTCGATAGTTACAAATGATGTATTATTATGTTTGACATGAATTGTGCTACATTTGACGCTCCAGAAGTGTGTGTACCAATGTGGGGGTAACTTATTTTTGTTCGCCTACTATCAAGTTGTGTTAAGGGACTGAAACCTATGGGCAGGGGGTATATTTACTTGGCTAACACAGACAGTCCCCGAACTTGTAATATAACTAAAATAACAAAAATTATGGACTACCTCCGACCTGATACAGACACTACACTAGTCTATGGCCTACAAGAAAAACTCACTATGTGGCAGCTTGGTTCTTTATTTATGGATTTTAATATGCATTCAATTTGACTCCTAGATGGAAGTTGTTATCCACTGTTTCTTTGCTATTTACTTATTCCTGTGTAACTGATCCTGCTATATTAAAATGTAGCTAGACATCATTTCTTTGAGAATTTTTATCTAAATATTTATGTAAATTATATCCTTTATGAGGACTTCTATTATTGTGTTTAACATTAAATTTTACCAAACTTGGTATAAAATCACAAAAGCGTCGCAAGGTGCACCTGCACCTCAATTTTTTGATTTTTGAAATTTTAAAGTTTTAAATTTTTCAAGTTGTATTATACTCTTATTTAACTTATCTGATTTTCATCATAGGAAGAAGAAATTCAAAAACTTCAAAATGAATTTCAATCTGAAAAAGAATCTGCTGTTAAAATGGCAACATGTATGGCCGAGCTTAACAAGACCTTACATAAGGTAATGTTTCAGAATTATTTTATTCAATGAAAATCACCATATATCACGGTGAAATATTACAGAAAACATTTCGGCATATTGCAAAGCTTGCATAGTGGTCCTCCCAGTGTTAGACGGTAGATCTGAAATGGGCAAACTGCGTCCCACAGTCCGAATCCGGCCCGGATGCTGCCACAACCAAACTAAATTCAAATTTTGATGTTTAAGTTAAAATAGCTCAAGGAATTTGTTGAGCACTTACATGGCCCATGAGTCTAGGTGGGCAAAATTTTCGGCCTTTGGTCCAACCTTTCTCAATACATCATTTCTCTCTTTGCAATTTTGAAACTTCTCATTTTCTCTTGCCATTCATAAAATTGGTGTTCCCATTTGTTGTTCAATATTTATTAGATCATTAGCGAGGCATGCGTGCTCTCTGATTTTTGTACTATTTGAATATTTTGTAAATTACAATAATAATAGAAATACCTATTTGTTGAATGAGATGCGATTTCTCCAATTATGTTCAAAATTTCAATTTTCGATTTTTATTTTGCAGGAAAACATTGAAGAAGAATCCAGGATGAATTTTGAAAAGCAATTGAAAGAAGTGGAAGAATCATGGATGAAAGAAAAGGATGAATTGATGAAGGAGGCAAGAAAATCTTGGGAGCAGGAAAAAGAAAAATTGATTCAAGATGTGGTTGAGGAAACTAGGAAGAAAATGGAAGATGATGCTGAGGTTTGGATTTGGGTACCGGTACTCCCGTAGGGTGTGTACCAGGTTAGGGTTAGGCCATAATTTTATTCTGATTTTAGTTCTATTACGAGTCTGGAGACTGTCTGTGTTAGCCAAGTTAATATACACCCTGCCCATAGGTTTCAGACGCTTCACACAACTTGATGTAAAGTAGGCGAACAAAATCAGTTACCTCCATGTGGACGATATTGGTACACACTCTTCTGGAGCGCCTTTTTTTTGTGAATAATCTGGAAAAACAAAATCTATATTATTATTTCACTCCTTTTTTCTAAATTACACTGTGGCATGCTATGAGTTGCTAAATTTTAGGAAAGACTGTATGTAATGTATAAATAAATGAAAATTTATTTTATCTCTGAAGGGAAGGAAAATTGTTTACAAAAACCATGGCTCTTATGTAAAATTGCCTAACTTAGTAGCTGATACAGGGCCTCATTTAGAGAGAAGTTATCAACCACTTTATATGAATTTTTCTAGATTCTAATCCTTACTTTTTAACAGAATGAAAGAAAAACACAGAAATCTGTGATGGAGAAAGCAATATTTGAAGTGAAGAAAATTTGTAACGAAGAAAAACAAAATTCACTGAAACAGAAAAATATTGAAATGGAACGAGAGATAAAAATGTATGTTGCAGATACATTTTTTTTGAGACTTTGCCTTGACTCTGGACTTTTATGTTCAAAAACTCACCCCCATCATCAATATGTAAATAGTAACTGCTTGTAAAAAAACCTTGCTCGAAGTACAAAAGTTTCAAAGTTTTGACTCGGCTCAAAGGCTCTCCCAATTTCATAAAGTTGTACCCTTCACAATTCTGTAATAAAAAACTGCTTGTAGAAATGTGAAACACTTCATACTAAATAAAGGGGGCTCCCGAAGTATGCGAACCAAGATGGCGGACATCGGAATGTAATATGTGTACTAGGTTAAGGTTAGGCCATAATGTTAGGTATAAATACTACGGGAGGCTCTTGGCTAGCTTTCGAACTGATACTACGGGAGGCTCTTGGCTAGTCTTCGAACTGATAATAGGGCTAAAATAAGAAAAATTGGAAAAAAATTATCGCCTAACCCTAACCTGTTACCCATGTTACGTTCCGATGTCCGCCATCTTGGTTCGCATACTTCGGGAGCACCAAATAAAGTACATCATCCAAATATTGCAGACTTCAAGAACAACACAAAACAGATTATGAAATGTTTGTGGATGAACACAAGAAAACTTTGGCTTCGTTCCTACAACAAGAGAAAAGTAAATCGATAACAACTTCTACTGTGACTAAGGATTCTTCAACACAAGCTGAGGTGGGATTGTGTGTACCAAGTTAGGGTTTGCCATCATATTATTTCAATTTTCCTTATTCGAGTTCGGGGACTGTCTGTGTTAGCCAAGTGAAAATACCGTATATGCTCGTTTTATCACCCGATCTTGGGCCCGTTTGAATATCCGCTCGTGTGAACAGATCATAAAAATAAATAAGTGCCGGTGCTTGAATACCTGCCCGATTTAAAAGCTGATTTTTCAGTGGTAGAGAAAAATAGGAAATAAGAAGCGCTTTTGTCACAATGCTGTTGAATTTTAAGCGCAGGTAGATAACACTCACGCCTTAGGCATCCAATTACATACCAGATAGCATTGATTACGTAACACTGTTGTTCTCAAACTGGGCGTCGCGACGCCCAAGTGCGTTGTTTCAATATTGATAGGGTGTCGCGAAACTTTTCTCTTTTTGCGGATATATGAGAAAATTACTCTGGAGATGTGAATAATTTGCGTTTGACGTGAACAAATGGACATGGAAAAAGGATTAATGTCGTCAAATTTTTGTCTTCGAAGATACCATAATTTTTGTGTATAACTTCACTTTAAAAATAACAAGCGCCCGTGATTGAATAAGGGCCGGTTTGAATAAGGGCCCAATCAGTGAGTTTGGTTAAAAAAATATGGGTGCTCCCGAAGTATGCGAACCAAGATGGCGGACATCGGAACGTAACATGGGTAACAGGTTAGGGTTAGGCGATAATTTTTTCCCAATTTTCCTTATTTTAGTCCTATTATCAGTTCGAAGACTAGCCAAGAGCCTCCTGTAGTATTTATAGCTAAAATTATGGCCTAACCCTAACCTAGTACACATATTACATTCCGATGTCCGCCATCTTGGTTCGCATACTTCGGGAGCCCCAAAATATGGGCCAGGGCTACAAAACGATCAAATACAGTACCCCCTGCCCATAGGTTATACAACTTGATGTAAAGTAGGTGAACAAAATTAGTTACCTCTATATTGGTACACATACTTCTGAAGTGCCGATACTTACATACAAATTCAAATTTTAAGTTAATGAGGGGGCAAGTTGTTAACACGGTGTGTGATAAAATTGAATTAGCGCCACCTAATGTGGCCAATGTGACATCATCGCCAAGCGATCTGAAGATGTTGATAGTCGTGTGGCGAAGCGAGGGTTTTATTTGGTTAGCGTGCACCAAGATTTCTACATCTTGTAAATTTTTTTTTCTTGTTTTAGTATAGTAGTAATCTTTAAGTTATAAAAGCCTAGAAAACAGTCTAAATGAGTTTCCTCAAATGGTTTCACTACACTGTCCTATCTGTCAAATATGAAAACACATTTACAGTCCATTGTTCAAAAATCCAAAAAGCCAATCTACTTCTCTACTTTTGAATTTGTTGCATTATTCACTTTCTTTGGCATAGTCGCAAGCAATGAAATTAAGAGTGTAGTTCCGTATTTCCCATGCTTTTATGACTTGTGGTCCATTCTGGAGGCTCTCAGTACTCATGGCCCCTGTTTATCATTCATCATTCCAGTGGTATTTATGGTTTTATTTTGATTCGTAGATTCAGGTTGTAGGTTGTTAAGTGAAAAGTAAAATAAGTTTTTGCCCAGCATTGTGACCCCCTACAACAGCTCTCTGGCTCCCACTTGGGGGGGGGGGGCACCGGCTCTAGGTTGGGAACCGCTGGTGTAGTTACTATAAGAGAACTATAAAACCATGTATACACTATTATCTTTTTTGTTCCAGATGGAAGTATCACATCAAACAAATAATTACGAAACGAAAGAAAAAACATGGAAATCTGAAAGAGAAGAAATTATTAACAAGAATAAGAATGAATTGGATGAAATGCAAAGAAAATTTGAAGCAAAGTACTGAATTGCTAATAAATTTTGTTGCTACAGCTAGGCAGTATTATATCTATCCTAACCCAGAACATGACGTGAATCATACTTATTTTGCTTACTCTAACGGTTTGGGCTACAGGGTGTCCATTAAGTCCCTTCACAATTTCTATTTTGTTATGAGGTCAGTTCTCAATATATCTTAACCAGGTTTGTTGTTTTCCAATCAGTAATTGTTCACATATTTTTACTTCATTTATTACATTTTTGAGAGCCAAAACCATAAATATATGCAATTTAAACAATTTTGAGACTTCATAGAATCCCTATATTTACCTCAACACATGACGATGGGATAAGTGTGGGACAACTGTGTTTAAAATTGGCAAGTGTGGGGCAAGTGGGACATAACATTCTCAAAATCCTCCTTTTACCTATAAGCCTGGAAGAAACAACTATTTTGTTAGTAATGTCTCAGCAATTTGGATGAATTCGCTAAATACCGGTCACATTTAAAATTTTGAGTATTTTTAAATTGTTATTCATTTTGTCTGTAGATTCGAAGAACTTCGTAATGAAATTGAACAATTGATGAAAGAGAGGAACGAATTATCTGAAGAATTGAAAAGAAATGAAAGCAGAAAACATATCGAGGTGAGGAGGGAAAAAAAAGTAACCGAGGTCAAATGTCAATCTACGTAACACCTTGAAGTGAAAATTTTCTAATTAAAATCTTATTTTTTCAGTGGAAGTTATATCCTGAATCAGGGGTGTGCAACAGGTGGCCTGCGGACCACAACCCGGCCCGCCAAGCCATTTATTGTGGTCCTTTTCCCAGTCGAGAATTGAATCCCAATCCGACAGGTTTATATTTGGAAAGGCGCTCACATAGAAATAAATACATAATGTTTTTTTGCTCCTGTCGCTGCGTTAAATCTCTTTTCGTTTTGCCTGGTGTATTTATTACTGTAAGGCTAAGCTATATCCACATTCTTTCCCGCTAAATTTTTTGTGTGGCTCAGTTAGATGCCTGAAGTTGGTTATATTATGGTCAACCGACCAAATAATGTCGCACAACCCTGTCAAGAATGTTAAAGCATTGGCTTAAACTATGTTGATAGCATTGCAGATTAAAAACATCTAGACCTCCATGCCTACCTCTACCACCCCACCTAGGGTGTGATAAATTGAGTAGGCAATGCTCAACCAAAAAGGTTACATTCTTTTTAAAAAATAATCGCTATTTAAGTACTAACACAATCTTAAACAAACCCCTATTAAAAGAGAATGTTGTGTTTATAAATAGTGTTCAAAAAATGGATGTTTTTCAAAATTTGGGTAAAAAACATTTCAATTGTTTTTCTTTTAGAGCAAAACTCCTTTCAGTTTGTTTTCAAAACCTTTTATTTCAGGATAAAAAAGCATCTTTAACCAATCAGCTTGAGCTCTCTCATCTACAATTAGAAAACGAGAGATTGCGTGCCGAAATGAAAGCATCAGAATCAAAAGTTGAAAAATTATCCGAAAAAAATACAAATGATATAAATCGACTAAAAGAAAGAATGAGAGGTGAGATACATTTGAGTACTTTTACAGAAGATTGGAAATTCATTGCTATTGTCGAATTAAAATTTGGTGCAATGGTCTAGTGTGGCCCACTGGTAAATTTGGCCCATTGGGTGATTCAATCTGGCCCACCTGATGCTGCCATGAATTTCTGCATTTAACCAATTTTGCATGCACCTAATAGTTGTTGTTATTGAAATATGTATGGCGCAATAGGCTTGTTAGATTATGATCGTAATATGTGTAAATTGAATTTGAGGTTGCCAGAGACTTTCATGTTCAACGTTAACAAAACTTTTCATTTTCTTGCCCACTCGTTTTGATGGTGTGCTTTCTACACCTCTTTTTTATGCACTTGTTGTCCTCCACCTCATCTAGGGTGTAATAAATGGGGCAGTCAAATGAGTCGAACCAGAAATTTCGATTCAGTTCTTCCATGAATAATAACTCATTAGATATCCATGGAAGCTTCTTATTCATAGCCTTGTTTGTAGCAAATGGCGTGAACAGACGCTGTATAGTAGTGCTGTCTAGTGAAAACCTGTCTCACTATAACCCTGACTCAAGACTCCACAGCTTTGAACTGCATAAGAGGCTACGATTAATCATATGTTCAAATTATCTTGTCAGCTAAATATTTCTATCTTTTTTCTCAAATCTTAATATTTAATATCCAGATGAATACAGAAGATGGAAGAAAGAACGTTCTAGTCTCGTTTCAAAATTAAAAGAATCATCTTCAAGCCCACAAGTCAATGCTTCACCTGTTCCTAATATGCAAGACACACCGTGCAAATTCTGTCAATCATCGCAAGAAAATAAAGAAGAAATTTTGAAACATAAAGATGAAGCAACAAGGAAAGCTATTTCTGAGTTGACAGAGATTTATGCAGGAACGTTGAAGATGATAAAAGGTAGATTATTAGGGAAATTATGGAGTTTAATCCAGTTTGAACCAGTGTTGGGGGATCGAGTCACTGATTCGACCAATCATACTCGAGTCATCTTTTAAAAGACTCGAAGACACTCATTTAAACGAAATATAGAATAGGGTAATATTTATCTTGATGGTGGAGGAAGCCGTCCGTAATCGACCACCGGTTACGTGAACCACCCTCCGGTGGCAAGGAGTTCAGCAATCCTTTCACACATAACTGTCCCCGCAAGGGATTCAAACCTGCGGACCCACGCAGCATAATCAGAGGTACGGTGGCGAGCGTACGTCTAACACTTAGCATGATGCACCACAGCGCCTAGTCAAATGTCTCCGCTCGATTCCAACTAAAACTTGTTCCAAAGCAAATCCAGATAAAGTTTGATAAATCGGCTTCATGCTGACCAGGAATTATCCCCATACATCAGGGGTGGGCAAATTTAATCCTGTGGGACGAATCCGGCCCATCGAAGTATTCCATCCGTCCCACTCGTATCTGCTGAAGTTACAACTATGGGTTTTATAGGAATAAATTTCTTCGAAAATAAAGTCATAGTGGTCCGATTGTTACATTGTGCTCCTTATTTTAATATGATTGTTAGCCTAGCTGTTGGACTAGCTCTTGTACAAGAACTGTTTTTTATTCATAGTTTTCATATTCAGTTTTGAGCCTATGGCCTAGTAACCAAGTCTATTATTTGTAACTGGCCCGTTGAGAAAAGTAATTTAACACTAAACCACTGAATAATAGTACAACAATCTTCAGTATACTTTGTGTTCAAAAGCTGATCTTCCGTTTACTCCATACCTGCGCGTTGTTTTGAGATTGCGGGGCTTGCATTTAGCTGGATTCGTCCAACGAGGCATGCAGAGCAAGGAATTTAGTATGTGGAACTGGTCATGTCTACTTTTGTCATTTATCAATGGCTGCTTGTGCTATGGCTTCAGGTTCTGGTTCCGAAAGAAAGTAATTAACATTGCAATAATTGAATATTCTTAATTTTGACTTTTATAGACGAAATGATGACGTATATAGGTGAGAGCAGATGTCGGACTAAAGAAACAATATCGAGAGAGAGAAATCATACAGCAAGCAAATTGAAAACACATTACAATAAAGTATTGAACAGAGTCAAACCTGAGAAAGATATACATGCTCAACTTATACAAAGGTATGTTTCAGTTTTGAGAGTTTTAAAAAAAATTGCCACTTTAGCTGCTTTTAAGAGTGATATATAAAACTTTGAATTTGGTGAAATCTGAAATCCTGGGCTTTTAAAAATGGGAGCTGAATTTTTGGTACTCCCGTAGTGTGTGTGCCAGGCAGGGATGGCCATTTCCGAATACTAAACTATTCCGAATACATTCTAAAATAATGTTTTCGAATCTGGAATTCCGAATACATTCTAAAATACCACATTTTTGTTTTAGTTGATTAAAACCCAGTAAATTAGGAAATAAGCTTCAATAGAAATATCAGAATGAAGCCACAAACCAACAGTATATGTACACAAAGTAATTGATAGTTTATAGCTATCAATAAAAAATAATAGCAACTTGTGACACAGTCAGTTAATTAAAATTAATCACTTTGTACAAATGACCATATGAAAAGTTGTCTGACGCTTTCTATCATTGGTACCATGATATTACGATAATAGTCAAGTCTATTGACAAAAATACTACTTGTATTCAGATAATTGTGTATATTTTCTGAGAGTAATAAAATTTATTGGCAATACCAATCGAAAATCCATTATGCCTTTAAAAATTCTAATATTTGGGCCTAGAGTATTCTACTACCTACCAGTATATTTGTATATCAATTTATGAGAACCATATTGTTATTATGTGTAATATATTGTTGTGTTTGGAATTAGAAATAAATTAGTAGAGAATAGATGACCATCACTGCGAGCGCGCAGCCAGGATTTTCGAAATCGGAATTTCCCATTGCCGCCTGTAACAACCACCGCGATTACGCGCTCGTTAAAAGAGTCGTCTTGTCAGCGTATAATGATGATCATTCTGTTACGTAAAATATTCAATCCATGACAACTACGAGATTCTAAAATATCTTTATATATTAATTTGATGTGTCCAATGTAACTCGCGGTTGCTTCTTCTTACGTCAAAAAAGAAACATTACTATTCCGTTCACGGCGATCTGTGACCTAAAATTACGAGATAAACTGCCTGATTTATTTAATTTTAATACGTATTTTTGCAATCTTGCCAACTCGTTATCGCCGTTAGAAAAATCTCAAATAATTATATAAAATCCTGTTAAGTGTAGAGTATAATTCATTTCATACAATGAATAGACATATAAAGTTTAGCAGTAAATTAAAAATACATATTCATCGCCGCGATTATGCCACCTGTTGAATGTCGAGTCGAGTCGACTTTTACAACAAATAATATAACAACGAATATATATTTGTCTGTTGTGCAAAGTGATGAATTCGTGACCGAAACCGGCATATTTAAAATGTCTTGCTTTATTAATCTAATTGTCTTCAATTTAACCTGCGGTTGCGTCGACAAAATAAAATCCTCACCACTCTTATATACCATTGCAATCCGCGGTCATAAAAATAAAAACGTGAGGTAAACTGTCCGATTAAATATTGTTTTGATACGTATTTTGCGAATTCGGCAAATATTTAGATGTACTTGTTAACAGTGACTCCGCTCGATCGAAATGCTGCCACTCGGATTATTTTTAGATAAAACCGTTCGAAAAATCCATAAATATGCTGTAATATCTCAGAGTAAAATTTATTTCATCAAAATAAAATTGATTGAATATACTTTAGATTAATTATATTACAACCCGGGAAAAAGTCGCGTTTGAAACCTTGTATCGTGTTAACACGAAAATATTTGACGGCAATTTAAAATAATGGATAATCAGGCAAATCCCGCCCTCAATTAGTGACGATATGTTTCTAAACGCCGACCAAACATAATGTGTGCCAGAGGCACACGAAATTTTGCGTTCACTGCCTAGAAAAGCGTTTTTTAAATTTTCGCGGGCATCAATAAAACTTATATTGTTTACGGTTTTATTTTCAGTATTTTAAATTGCCGCTTTTCAATCAAAAAGTTGCGTTGTCTTTAGAAACTCGCCGCCGATGAACGTATTTACCAGATTCACAATTCCGTGCGTGTACAAAAATAAAATAAATGTTATCGTTATCGTGGAACAAATTTGTGGAAAATTTTCGTTTTAGAGAAAATAACACAATTGTAAAGGCGTTTACGGGCCTAAATATTACGTTACGCTGATGAGTGATGAAAACAATCACGCGCAAGGTACTATCGAGAATGTTTTCATTCAACGGAAACGTCTTGAAAGCGGCGTCGAAAATGTGTGACGTCACACAAATATCCGATATTCTTATGAACGTGAATTCCGATATTCGAATGACGAGATATTCGAATACATTCGAATACTTTATTCGAATTGGCCATCCCTGGTGCCAGGTTAGGGTTAGCTCACAATTTTATTTTTAGTTTTCCCATTTTAGTTCTATTATGAGTTCGGGACTGTTCGTGTTGGCCAAATGAATATACCCCAATAGGTTTCAGTCCCTTTACATAACTTGCTGTAAAGTAGGCGAACAAAAATAGTTACCTTCTTATTGATACACACACATCCTTATTGGTACTTATGAAGTGCCGAAAGTAAAGTGAAACTTGCAAGCGACTTTTTGATATCAAAGAGACGAAAATGTTGCTACTTTGTGTGATTTGGACATTTATTCTTAATGTCCTTGGCCATTACGATCATGTTTGTTTTTATCACTGAAGTGATTTATGCATATAAAATCTTTGATAAGAATTACATTCGATTTTGACATTAGAAGAAAGGGAAAAAAATGTCTTATTCATATGACAAACCTCTATTAATGCTCTGGATATATAGTAGTGGATCTTTGTCAGTTAGAACTTTAATGATAATCCAACTATAACAGCGTGATCCTCGTACAAGTGCATGGTTACATTCTAAGATAGGACAAGATTGTCATATTTCTCTCGATGACAGCAAAGCCATTATGGTGCCTTAATCATATGGCGAAAGTCCAGGGGCGGACACCCGGGGGGGGGGGGGGGGGGGGGGGGGGGGCGAGGGCCCCCCCAATAATTTCAGAAAAAAATTTAATACATGTTGTTTCCGCCTTACAAAATTAGCATTTCCGAAAAGTGCGACAGTCAAGCGCAATTAAACGGTTAATAGTTACCGATATTATAACTGTTTTCTTACAATAATGTGGACCAGAGCTTTCGGAGCACCTCACATTTTCGTGAAACATGCGCGTCCGCACGGGTAATACTCCGTCTTCAAACGCACCGCCGATCACGCGCCACGGTTTTGCACAACTAATTCATTTTGGTACAATTTATTATGATTTTCACATTGTGTTATTGTTGGCACTTGCGAGAGAAGTCAAAGAGGCGAGAACTGTGTTTCATTACAACAATTAATTATTATCGCTAAAAAATTAACTAGATCTAAAGTTAATATAAACAATTTTCACCGCTGGACGTAATTTTCACGATATGGATTTCGTGCAAGGCCCAGCATAATTTGAGGGCAAAGATCAAAGCATTTACTATGTCGAAAAGTTGAAAAGCGAAAATATAAAATACTAAAAATAAAACTGTAAACAATATAAGTTTTGTTGAGGCCCGCGACAGTCTAAAAACGCTTTTCTAGGCATCGAAAATCGCAAACTTTCGTGTGCCTACGGCACAAATTATGTTTGCTTGACCTTTAAAAACATTTCGTCACTAAAATCGAAACACGGTCAATTGTGAGCGGGATTTGCCTTTTTATCCATTACTTTTAAATTGACGTCGAAAATTTTCGTGTTAACAAACAAAGCTGAGAACGCGACTTTCCCACGGTTTTTGATGATATATAAGATAAATAAAGTATATTCGATCACTTTTTGTATTTATGTATTTTTATTGTATTGAAATAACTTTTACTACGTGAAAATCGACAAAAAATTTACGGATTTTTCGAAAGGGGTTATCTTTAAAAATAATCGGAGTGACAGCATTGCGATTGAGCGGAGCCAGTGTGACAAGTACATCTCAAATTTATCGAATTCGCAAAATAGCAAAAATACGGATCAAAACAATATATAAACGGGCAGTTTACCACACATTTTTATGTCCGCGGATTGCCGTCGTGTTCTAGAGTGGCTCTTGTTTTGTCGACTCAACCGCAGTTTAAATTAATAAATCAAGACATTTTGAATATGCCCGTATCGGTCTTTGATTGATTACTTTGCACAAGTGAAAAATCATTTTTCGTTTATAAAGTCGGCTCTTTTAACAAGTGGCGTAATCGCGGGACTGTTCCGCGTGGATTTCGAGGCGGTGAATTTGTATTTTGATTTACTAGTATACTTTATAATTATTTTCATTGTATGAATTAAAATTGTACTATATGGGATTTTATATCAGATAACGAGATTTTTGTAACGGCGATAACGAGTTCGGAAGATTGCAAAAATAGGTATCAAAATTAAATACATCAGGCAGCTTATCTCATATTTTTATGTCCACATATCGCCGTGGTACTTTAGTTTAGTAACATTTTTATTTTGACGTAAGAAGTCGCAACCACGAGTTAGGTTGCACACTATTAAATCAATATATAAAGACATTTTAGAATCTCGTGGCTGTCATGGATCGACAGAAAAATCATTATACGCTTAAATAGGCGGCTCTTTTAACAAGCGCGTAATCGCGGTGCTTGTTGCAGACGGCAATGGGAAGTTCCGACTTTAGTGCGCGTTAGTGCGCTTTATGCAGAACTAGGAATTGAAACAATAACCTAATACGACTCCTCAAATTTGTTATTTTCTGTTTGTTAGAAAGAGCCGTGGGCTAATTCTCGCGGAATTCAAGAAATTGGTTCCGTGTCCGAGCAAAGCAGCCTAGGTACTCGATATATGAGTAGTAAAATGACATGCTAATACTTAGAGAATAACATCGACAGGTTATTGTTACGTGACGATATACGCCCCCCCCCTAAAATTATGGAAAGTGTCCGCCCCTGGGCGAAACATGTTTCATATTGATCCTGTTGAAAGGAAAGTCAAATGAGACGGCTTAATCATAATGTTAAATACAGCCTCTCATCAGCTAGGTATTCGTTTCAGATGCATGAACTAAGTAATATTCATAGTGATCAAGTGTTCACCTCATTTCAGTTAGATTTAAAATTTTTCAATTTAATTCAGATTGAAATTATTGGAAAGCGACACTGACAGTCGACCAGAAACACCACAGACTTCAACTTCAAGGAGAAATTCTTCTTCTGTCCCACAATCCAGCAATTCATACAATCCAAGTATTGCATCCACGTCAGGAATATCTCGTTCAGATCTAGTTTCTACGACAAACAAACCAACTTTGTCACAAATTAACCATTTCTCAAACCAATATGATGATGTTAACCATTTACCGACAAAATTAACCCCAGAATTACACCGGAATCAGCAACAAAGTGCTTTTAAACCACCAATTTTGTCAACAAGACAACAAAGTGTTAATAACCCAGTTTTATACGGATTTGAAAGACAAAAAAGTACAGAATTTCAACCTCAAAATGTTTCAAATTTACCAATCAGACAAAAATTAACGAAAGAGAACTCCTCTGATAGACCAACCTCTCAAAATTTTCACTCCTACGTAAGCGAAAGAGACTCTAGAAGTCAAAGTTCATGTCAAAGCCAACAATTTTCTTCAAAATATCCGCCAGTTTTAGCGAACATTGATTTTTCACCAAGACGTACACGAAGTGATAACTTCAATTATTCTCAGTATAGAGATTTAAGAACGCCTGGTAGTGCTTCGATGGGTGGAACATATAAACCAACAAGGCCGTAGTGTTGTTCATAACATATTGGACAGCCTACTGGCTCGCGGTTTCACCCAGTTATTTGTATCTGGCCTTCCTGTATTAAAGGTTGCATATCCCTGGCCTGCCTAATGCAACGAATATTTAATTATTCTTCTCACCCTAATATTATATCAGTTACAAGTTCTGTACGATTCAAACTTTTCTCTATGCCAGTGGTTCCCAAAGTTGATTGACTGGGGGCCAAAATTAGCAGCAGAAGGACAATCGCGTGCCAGTATCTGTACGTATAATTAAGATACCAGTACACAAATTTGCTATGAATATTCACATGTTTAAACTGTAATAATGAAGTACCAATTGGCGGTATCTAGAATGCAAAAAGGTGGAAACATAAAATGGTAAACTAATTCACTTAAGTTCGATAGGCCAGCCATATTAAATTGTTACTTCGGCCATAATTGGCTTGCGGTTTGGAAACTACTGCTTCATGCTAACAAAAATGAACTTTTTGTCTGGCTGAAGTCAAACTTCTGCGAACAGCATATGTCAGCTATCACCTCTGTCAAACGAAATATCCAGCAAGACTCCTCGAGTTGTGAGTTGTATAGGTATATATTTTTTTCAGTTGTGATCTGATCTTGAAGGCGCTCAGGAAGTGTGTATACCAATATGTTTCATTATGTGAAGAACCGATACCCAGGGAAATGGTTGAGTTACCAAACTAAATAAGGGGAATGTACGAAAGGGGCAACAACAGCTTGCTAATACTAATGACTCGTGGACTAAACCTCACTCCTGACATGACGGAATATATTCTTATGACTCAATAGAAGATATAAGGGTATTTGCCCTGGTACACGTACTACAGGAGTACCATCTTGAAGGCACAGGCGTTCTGTCATAAAGCAACATTGTTACATCTCTTGTTAGATCATTTTATGAAATGTATAATTTATTATTTTGATATGCTTTTTTCATTTATATTTTATTCCACTGTAGGTTTTTTAACTAAGAAAATAATTGTTGTAAAAAAGCCAAAGTCATGGCTCACTGGTATAATAGTTCGACAATGATAGTATAATATACATGATGACCATAATTTATAATTTAAAAATTTTATTGAAAAGTGAACGATTGTGAATTGTAAAGATAGTTAGGGACGCTCATATTTTAAACCAGAATAGGCCTTTTCACAAAGCTATGGCTGATATCCATTGAGTTATTAATTTAAGTTGGACTTTTTTCATTTCAACTGCTACATCTAAGACACCAGAAATTTTTTGTGATAGAACTCGATATCATAACTGCTTGTATACGAGGTCTTGTTCAAATGAAACATAAATATGTCAGCCAATATGTTTTTCATTGTCCCAATCGTATCTGCATGATAATTAAACGTCTCTCTCTGTTTTACCGTTTAATTATTATGCAGTTACTGTTACATTTTTGAGGCAAATAAACATACATACAATTCTTTGATGAGTAAACATTAAATTAGGATTTATACAATATCCTTGTTCCATAGATGAACCATTGTAAGCCTTGTAAAGTATCGATTTATTCTCGATGCATAATTTTGTAATTATTTCTTCAACACTTTTTCATGTTTTGTATTCTTGCTGCTATCATTAACCAAACCGTATGTTTCATTCATCATATATTTTCATAATATTTATGTTTTTTTATTAAGTAGTCCGAAATGGTAATGGTTATAGGCTTAAATAGAATTCAGTAATAATTGAGATTGCAATTTTATTTATGGCAGCGTCTACAGGACACATTCATGAATATGTGGAGATTAGGTACAAGTACAGATCCTACGAGGCTTATGTCAGGGTCCCACTGGATTTAGAATTTGTATTTCGACAATCAGTAGAGATCATAAAAAAGAGGAAATAATGATTTACCTCCGAATGCGTAAAATGAAGTACACATATTACACACAGTGACAGTTAGGGCCCATTCACACCAACGCAGTGCGTTGCGTTATATTTTGACGCAGATGCAACGCAATGCGCTGAACTTGTTCACACTGCGTTGCGTTGACGCATGTCAAAAGGTCATATTCCGGGTGCCCGTATTTTGGATCAGGAACTTGATAGGCATTGTGTTTAAGAGCAGAGTAGGTAAGACAGCTGTTGTTTGGATATAAATTTGAGACGTTTTGGCGATTGTATAATGCCGTTGTATATCAATGATAGTTATTATTTTCAAAACAATGAAAAATGTACAATGATTTTTATACAGATTGATTAGATATCGGTATGGCAGGTATGGACTTAGAACATCTCATAGTTGAGGTCAGAGAAAGGAAGTGTCTTTACGCTGTAAAAGAAGCAGCCTACAGGGATACAATTAAAAAGGGAAAGGCGTGGGAAGAGGTCGCAGAGGCGTTGGGAAGAAGTGGTAAGAAAATGAGTATGAGCCTAGAATAGTTATCTGTTACTATATTGCATCTAAAACCAATTAGGAAGAAATTAAGTAAATGCAAGATAACAGAATAAACTTCAAAGTTAATTGCTTTTCAGTGACAGATTGTAAGACCAGATGGAGATCTACAAAGGATAGGTATAGGAAAGAGAAAAGAAGGGAATCAGAGGCTACGAGGAGTGGGGCAGCAGCAGGGGGATATAGAGCATGGAAGTTCATGGAGGTGCTAAAGTACCTAGACGAGCACGTCGACTTTCGAACGTAAGTATTATTTGCTTTCGTAACAAACGCAATAATATTTCTAATCCCTACCCCACAGTATCAACGGTCGCAAATGACTGACTGACTACTCCAGATCTCGGAACCCCAAACTATGACCATGTAACTTACTCTTTTCCAAAGAACGTCTTCAAATATTGACGAGGATGTCACTCTTGTGGTGCTCCAAGATGGAAATAATGTCCAAATGAGTGGTGAAGCTGACAACTTACCTAATATGAACACCAGTTGCACTACATCAGCATCTGATAAAGATGCACTTACAAAAGCGACTGATCTTGACGAAACTATCATGAGTCTTGTCAACAAAGGTATTTAATTCTAAAACCTTTCCATGAGGCATATTTGTGTCACACAAATGATTTCCAATCTAATAATCATACCTTTATTTACATACAGAGAGTGATGATGCTGAAAAATTTGCATTGAGCCTCGTAGATACTCTACGCAGGCTACCAGTACAACGTTTGCAACTTGCGAAAATTAAAATTCACGAGCTTCTGTACAACATCGAATTTGGGGAAATATAATTTACTTGGAACACATTGTTTTCAATTATTGATTATATGGTAATCCTGAAGTATGTGAACGAAGATGGCAGACACCGAACTTAGTATGTCTACCAGGTTAGGTTCAGGCAAAATTTTCAGGTACAAATACTAAGGGAGTCGCTTGTCTAGTCCCCGAACTAAAATAAGGAAAATTGGAATAAATTATGGCCTAAACCTAACCTGGTAAACATACCAGGTTCAGGTGTCCATCTTGGTTCACATCCTTAGGGAGTACCAAATATACTAGCATATCAGATTTGTAATACCTCTGCAGTTCAGTAATCATCTATAAAATTGTTAAAAGATCAGCAATGGTGCCATTGCCAGGGCACAGCACCTTCCCCTGCAAAGTAGTTGGCAAAGGTGTTGCGAACAGATTGTGCGCTCTGTGTTGCACGGCCACCACTCCCGGGTATGTCATGCAGCAGTTGAGTGGACACTGTAATATTATCGTCAACTGGTGCAGCCCCAGCAACATCTCTTCTCAAAAATTGTGTAGGCAGCATGTTGCCTTTATGACAGAGTCGATATTGCTGGGCTTCAATGGTATTGGTCTGTGATAGACTCTCCACTGATTAGCTAAGATGCCAAATGTGCTCTCTACCATTCTTCTTGCCCGCGATAGGCGATAATTAAAGATTCTTTTCTCCTGCGAGAGACCATTGCCAGGAAATGGTCTCATCAGATTTTCTTTCAAGGGAAAGGCTTCATCCCCAATGAATACGAACGGAACAGTAGGTCCATCCGTTACTGGCAATGGCCTGAAAATAAATTTGCCCTATTTAGCCAGAAATACAAAATGAGGTTTAGGTAGGAGGTTTTTCTGCATAAACATGCTTCATTTTTATGGGTTATTACTAAGTTGTTAAAATAATAAGCCTTTATTACTTAGGTGTAAAGAAAAATCATAGCCTGTTTCGTTATAGAAAAAAACATCAGCAGTCATTTTCAAGTCTAGGTGGACTACTAGCTTAAATAACCCACCTTGGTGAGGGTAGACTCAAGGTTCCATTCTGCAGGCGACGGCCAAAACATGAGTTCGCAAATATTCCCCATCGCTTGCTCTGCCATAGGCGCCAATGTCCACCGCAAGAAATTTATAACTGAAAAATATGAATTTCATTGAATTCTTGATGGCACTGTTTGGAATAAATGCCCATGTATAATCCACATAATATTGGGAAATAATTGGTTTCTAATTTATTTAGCCATTCATAGAAAGCAACCACAAGTGGTAAGTTACAAAAATTGTTTACCTATGAATACAAATTAGTGTGATACAAAATCAGGTTTAATATTTACCATGCATCAACGATAGCCAGGAGCACAATGCTATGCGTTTTTTTGTAATTGTAATACAACGATCCAGCATTGCTAGGACATTTAACAACAACATGCTTTCCATCAATAGCGCCCAAACAGTTTGGAAATTGCCATTTTTTGTGAAAAACATCGGCAACCTCAGTCCATTCGGAACAACTTGATGGGCATTTGAGGAAATCCCCTCTCAATGCATCCCATATTGCAGAACATGTTTCTGAGACAATGTTGCTCACAGTTGATATGCCAAGACGATAGCTGTTAGCTATAGTTCTATAGCTATCGCCAGTAGCTAAGAATCTGAAAAAATGAAAGATAAAGTAAAGCAATTGACACATTATGTAATAATAAATAACAAAATATGCTCATGTGTGAATGAATTTATAAATAATAGTCTATCATAAAATGGAAACATATTTTTATATGCGGCCAATGGCAAACACGAGTGCACATTATTATCAGATACAAGCTGATTACTGTGATGTTTATCCCTGGATATACAAATGTTTGTATTTGCTATCTGAATAAGTGTTTCTTAACCTGTTATATCATAGACATAAACTTCTGAATAGCTCATCCATATTTTTGGTTTCACAAAGTGATATAATGAACCGCTTTTGCTAACTTATCAGCTAATGTACCTCAATGTTACTGCAATTCTCTCTTCTGGTGGTATCGGCTTCCTGAATGCTGTAGCTTGTTTACTTATAACAGGCCCAACTAAAGTTATTAAAATTTGAAAGTCTTCGACTGACATGCGGAGGTAGGTCTCAAAATAGCTTCTCCTCTCCAATCTCATTCAAAAGCCTGTGGTACTCGCCTGTTAACGTTACAATATTCAGATATTACCCGTTAAGGTACCGGTAATCATTCAATATGATATATATTTTCAAACCTCTCAAATACTACTTTTTGCACTAAAATGAGCTGTAGACTATCAGTAGAGGGTACCGTAATACTACAGTACTATGATAAGCACTGTCCAGACTGTCAGAACACCTTTCAGCTTTTTAACTACTGAACTAGATCAAATACCTGAATACTGGAATATGGCACCGGTCTAGTATGGTATGTCATATGTTAACTGTTAAATCTAGAACCATGTAAGTAGCAAATTCTGTTTATTACAAACGGCTAGAAATACGGTGCAGTCGTATACGTACCGTACCCCAGGTACGGTACCGTACTGGGGTACGGTAGGCCTACCTACTGCTGTACTGTGAAAATACTGCAATACTGATACCGTACCTCTAGTCTCTCTTCTCTGCAAAATAGGATGCACCCACCACCTTCTTCTTTTGCATCTATTTTTTTTATCCTTGCGTCTTTTCAGCCACAACAGTAATCCCAATTTTTGATGTTTGCTCAAAGCCATCGCCAAACCACAGAACAAAGCACCGGAACTCAACTCAAATCTCAGACAACGCAGCGCGTCAACGCAAAGGAATGTTTCCTCGAGAATTCGTTGCGTTGACGCAGTGCGCCAAAATGATGCGTTAACGCAACAACGCAAGTTTACTTAAACAATTAAAGAATAACGCACTGGTGTGAACAGATGTGAATGGGCCCTTATGGCCGTAAAAATGATAACCTGAAGAAGTCGACAGGACTACAAAATAGACCAGGGTTTTGCAAACTGTGGTCTGCGACAATATGAAAATGATTGATTTCAACCAAAAAACAATTGCAACTTTAGCGTTGCGGACGAATATCCATTGCTGTCAGAAAAGGCAATTAAAATTTTATTGCATCACATGTGTATGGCAGCATTTTTAGCTCTTACCGATAGGATATGATGACAAATACAGGTCGTGACTTGCCGCCGTATAGTCGGACCTACGAGTTTGGTTGTCCATATTGCTCCAAAAATTGATAAATTGTGCAGTGAAAAGTATGGATGCGGGGTGTGATTACTCACAAGTATTCGATTCCGAATGTTGATTCCTCGACATATCTTTCCGAGAAAACATACCCATCTGAGCAATATCATATGAAATCAAACAAGAGAGCGATGCTCAGATATATGGACGGACAAGAACGCCAAATCTAAAAATTCTTCAGAAGAGATTTTGGAAATAAATGACCGTAAAAGCGTTCTATTGAATTATATATAGTGAATCTTACGGCGTCGTAGAAACTCAACATAGCAGTAAAGCAGTTTATACATATATGTGAAGGAATAGCCACAAAACGTTACACATTGTTGGCAATCCAAGTTTTAATTACGGGTATCCATTCCGCGAAGAATCGAATCCGGACTCGATTCCGCCATCCCTAGTGAAAGCAAGCTCGCCCATCACATTAATGGACCTTTCCCCGAGCATCGACTTCCTTGTTTATTCCGTGACGTTGGCCAATCAGCAAGATGCAAAAAGTGACGTAACAATGCCCCCTTTTCGCATCCGCTCAGACACTTTTTTCACTCAGACAGATTTTCAAGCGTGGTTGTAAACATGACCTCGTTTTCGCATTTTTGAACTCTATTCGTTAGTTTTCAGTTGTGTTTTGGAAACTTGAATAAAAATCAGATAATTCAATGATCACTCTGTCTTTTTAGGAGTTTTAATTTAATTGCAGTAATAAAAATTAGTGTAGAAATAGCTGTGATAGACTAGCCTGAAATTCTTTACCGGTACTTTTAAAAAACAGATTGTTGTGTGCGATGAATCCTAATGATGATTTGAAACACATACCCAATTTTACAGGCGCCAACTCGCAAAAGCACTCCTAAAATAGCCCTGAAAATTCTGCAATGGTAAAGTATGGGAAGAATTTTCCGGGGGTCAAAGGTCGGGGAAAAGTCCATGTCGTTTGTGTTGTAAGAATGATGTTCCGTCAAATCTCAGATTCACGATCAGGGGTCCGCGACTGAAAAAAAATTGGGAAACCCCGAAATAGACCGACTACGGGTCATAAACATCGAAGTAATAAGACGTATTGCGCTAGATTTTTTCTATCTCAAAGCCTCACACGATACTGTCTTCGACTCTCTAGTACACAAATCATGCTGTTCAGTCGAATTATTTCGAGTTTTGGAAAAGTCGAGTCTATCAACATTGGAAACTAACTAATCGGTCCTCCTGAAGTATGCGCACCAAGATGGCGCACAACCTGAACTCAGGTTGTATACCTGGTTAGGGTTCAGGCTTTGCGACATCTTGGTGCGTATACTTCAGGAGTACCAACTAATCATTACCCATCTTGTTTCTGATTGCCGCAAGGTGTAGTTTTTTCATTTATATATATAAATTCCCTCAACAATCCGGACGGCTGCTTGATGGCGGTATATGATGCCCAGATTTCCTCTGCGTGAGTAGAATTTGTTGCTAGGTTACTGAAATTAACTTCTTTTACATGATCTGGGATTGGTAAAACCGGTGACCCACGGCGAATATATAAGCGTCTCGGAGAAGGCGGTGCCCGAAAATCATTTTTCCCATCATTATCCTCCACGTGATTCGAACTAATCAGTATGCAATGGAAAGCGTAATCGTAAAGATGGCTCCAACTGTCGATACCATGGTAGGTAGATTCATGTATGATCTTACTCCCAGAACTGTGACTTTTCGTTGTTATTGAAGTCAGAGAGTGTGTCAATTTTTCCAAGTTCAGTCGGAGACTTTCAAAGCTTTATTCATATACAGTATATAATAAAGATTCTGGATATGTCGATTGAGCTAGAAGAACCGGAATATTTTTAATGACACTCTGCAAAATTTTGTCGATCATTTACAGTTGGGTATCTACGTATAATGGCTAAGTTAAAAAATGCGCCCTTTGATTGTTTACTGAAAAGATTTTAATTATTGTTAAATTAAGATACTTGTGCGTGCGAGTTTCAATTATTTCTGACAAAATTATTTTATTGAAACACTTTACAATCAAACTTTCTACCCAATTTGCGCATTTTTAAACCTCTTTTGAAGTTTTGGCAACTTCTCTAAATTTCTGTACAATGTGTTTGTCTTGTGTGTTGTAAGTATTGCTCTAGTAGTGGGATTCAGCCGATTCGCACCGGTTCTATAGAATCGTCTCACGAAATTTTATGAGATCAGCGAACCGGTTAGCATTAAATGACTTTTTGTAACAGAACCGCCTGAAAATATGACTTTTGTATGATGGAACCGGCTGACATAAAATTTGAATCCCACCACTGTATTGCCCATGAAATTATTGTCTCATCATCTATTTAATACGAAATTTATATATATAATTAAATCTACAATCCTTGGTTCTCGCAGCTAAAACGCCATGCTCAACATCCCAATTACTTGATTGTTCCTAAAATTTCACTGGTTGGACTCATTGGTACTATCGTGTTATTTTCCTGTCACTGATTTTTCGATCTGTTTTTTTTTCATTATGTTCAGATTGGGTTAAGATAATCTGGATGGTGGAGCAATAATCGATCCTGACTCTAATCAAATAAAATGGGTGATCGAGAAAATACAGATAGTAACGAAAAAATTCGGGGGAAGCTGACCCTGAGGACCGCATGGTCGATTCCCCAGTCTATACTGAAAACCTTTGCGTATGTTGTCGTATATCTTTTTGTTCTTGCAATGCTCCTTTTTCAGGTTGACAAAAAATAAATCTCTCTCACTCTCTCTAGGATTAACTTTGATATATATACATAACCAGGCTGGTCGTTTACGCTTTCTGCACTATCCAAATCTGTGAAATGACTTATTGCTCAAAACTCTCTGATCTATATATATCTAATATAAGTCACAGTTCCAACATGATTATGTGGTTATATTACAGTGGTTTCCAAAGTTGATTGAACGGGAGCCAAGATTAGAAGCCGGAATCTATCTCGGGCCAGGAGGCGCGCTCGCAAATGGCCGGTACGTATAATTAAGATAACGGTATAATTGAATTGTTTCGAATATACACGTGCTTAAACTATGATAATGACGTAACAATTGGTAGTATCTAGAACGCAAAAATAGATTCGGTGAGCCACAGTAAATCGTTACGCGGGCCGTAATTGGCCCACGGGGGAGGTTTGGGAACCACTGTTATATATATATATATATATTGGCTATCTTATCCCCCAGAAAAATATCGAAGATCCTAAATAATTTGACAGGTATTAGTCATACTTTTACGACGTTCCATTTTATTCTTCAAAGAAAATAAAAAGCAGGAAAACAATAAAATAACAAGTAAGGTTGTTATAGTTTGAATCACGAGAGAAATTTCAAGTTTGCAACGAGATTTAGTAAGATTGCAAATATATAAAACAAATATCCCCATTGAATCGCTGTCGATTTTAGCGTTTTTGCTGGTAATCCACCGGAATTAGATTTAGAATTTCAGAAAATTTTCAATAACAAAAATTACTTTTGGTTGCCAAAATTTTGCTATCCCGTAGTACTGCGATAGAATACAGGACCGGATTCGTAGTTAAATTCTTTATCTGCAGGATGTCGGATTGGAGTCAACTTTTCACCGACATCATAGGCATGGTAGGTATTAGGTAAATTCAAAGAACAAACAAAGGATTTTAGAGCGTTTCCAAAATTATCTGTTTGGCACAAACTATAAAATTCAGATAGCAAGAATCTGGGATAATTATGAAATAAATGCGAATCAGATACGCCAGAGTATATTTTGACAATCGAAAAATTGAGCACTCCCGTAGTATGTGCACCAAGATGGCGGACACCGGAACGTCGTGTGTGTACCAGGTTAGGGTTAGACCATAATTTCAGGTACAAATACTATGGGAGTCACTTGGCTAGTCCCCGAACTCGTAATTGAACTGAAATTGGAATAAAATTACGTCCTAACCTGGTACCCACACTACGTTCCGGTGTCCGCCATCTTGGGAGTGCCAAAAATTGTGTTTGAAAACTCTTGTCCTAAGCCTTGTTTATGACAAATGCTATTTGAAGTTTTAACAGGGAATTTTCAATCAGCATCGTGGTCAAAAATGCACCGTTAAATATCCGACATGCAAGTTATGAACAATAACAACCTCAAACAGACAAAACAATAAAGTAGTTCACATGGTACACATAAACAGTGAAAAAAAAAATTCGCTCTATTCAAAGAAATAATAATTACAGTGAAAAAATCTTAATTAAAAAAAGCCTTTTTTCTGAATAAGATAAAAAAAACGAGCAATCTGAATATTATCTGTCTTTGAGACTCTGATGACGACGTTATATTATGACGTCATAAATTACGTTCAGCTTATTACGAAAATTAGTTCGTTCTTTCACGCAACAGTGGCTATGACGTGGTACACTGTTTTTATTTTTCAACAGTTTTGCTCTGAAGTCATATAGTACGTCATTTTATGACCTCATCGTCATCTGAGGGTATGCTTCACTTGACTGTATGACGTAATGTGATCGTAAGTCCATTCATCGTACCATCTACAACTTCCAAACTGATATTGATCGCAAGATACTCGAGCTGTGAATTCGTTTCTTTTTGGAAGACTCGGCTGTGGAGTTCTTTTACCGAGCATAGGAAAGTTTTGGTAGTAATACCTGGAAATTGAGAGATATAGTTAGGATAGGTATAAGTAAAAATCCTCTCACAGGAAACGTTAAAGGAGGTATATTCACTTGCCTACAACAGACAGTCCCCGAACTCATAATAGAGCTAAAATAAGGGACATCGGAATAAAATTAGGGCCTAACTCTAACCTGGTACACACACTTCGGGAGTACCCATTTTGTTAGTGTGCAGCAAGAATCTCGAATCACACAGTATAGTCATCTTCACTTTCCCTGCATCACTCTTGCATTATATTAAATATATATATGTATATCCATACGGATTCACCAGCGCAAAAGCATTGTTGTCTCACAAAAAAGTAATATTTTTATCTTTGTATGTATATTTGCCGTGCAGTTGAAAAAATTACGAAAATTCTTACTGGAAGTCCATATCGAATTATCAATTATCAAGTCGAGGACATGTTTTTATAAGAGATACTTATGTGTAATAGATTTCAATTCAATATCCTCGAAGGTATGAAACCTTCCTTGCCACCTGTAGAAGCTTTAATATTTTAATAAAGTTAAATTCTTACCATCTTTGTAAAATATATTTCCTTCCTTTTGTAACCATAGCTGCTTTGTGAAATGAATGCAAATCGCAGTTTCCATCTGATCCCATGTTATTCCAAAGCAGAGCTCGACCTTTCTTTGGACGAACTTTGACCCCAAGATCTAAAATGAAAATAGGATTTTAACGAGCTTGTCGGACACAGAGTTTTGCTAAGTTGTTGTTGAATTGTTGTTGTGTAAATATCGCTTTTCTCCACAACTAATGGACCGATCCATTTCAGATTTTCAGTACTCAGAGATGTAAGAACTCGCAGAAAAGCCATTTCTTTTTTTTTCAAATTTTCTCTGACTCTCGATCTTTCACCCCAAGTTTGCTATTTTTTATAATTCACTGACACACTATCATATGACATTCGGTACAATTTTTGGCGCTCCAGAAGTTGTGTAAAGGAACTGAAACCTATGGATAGGGAGTATACTCACTTGGCTAACACAGACAATCTCCGAACTCGTAATAGAGCTAAAATAAGGAAAATCGGAATAAAATTATGACCTAACCCTAACCTGGTACACAGACTACGTGAGTACCCACATTTTTATCATTTACGATAACTGGAAGTTTGCTTACATTGCGGTGGTCACATTAGTCTTTTGACCAAAGTGTCATTACTCTCTTGTTTTACATTGAAATCACAAGTAATTGCGCGCTCTTCGGCGAAATACATGAAGTTTATACAAGCGAAAAGATTAGCTGAAAAATCTGATAAGATGGCCGTGTCAATATGATATTTGAATTCCTATATCCGACATGACTGGTATGATTAAGCCATACGGTTAAGTCGTCATAATGGCCCGGGATGAAAATAAAAATCATGTTTTATTCAATTACCTGGAAATTCTGTTTCTCCGCCATCTTCTACATCTTGTAAATATACAAGGATTGTAGCAAACCGATCTCTCTTGTCTGGACTGTCAACCGTACAGTCATGATGGCCTTTGTAGCCCACTCCTTCCGGGTATGACGTCACCTACAAAAATAAGGTTCCAGTAATAAATGCCATTTTTTCTAATTTTAATTGCAACGAGGCTAAGGAAAAGAAGATAATGACCTTACAATCAAATTTTGTGCAGAATACTTTTTTTTGCATAACTAAATATTAAATTAAATTCTACAAGAATGGCTTGCTTATTAGATTATTTCGAAATCAAATATATATTTGCATTTAGACGTGACGTTTCAATTTGGCTTTATATTTTGCAAAACCGAAAACATCACATCGTCACATTGTTCGATTATTAATTGAGGGGCTTTCCATTCGACTTGACAGTAGTTAGTAGTTAGAAATTGGAAGAAATAAAACAATCCACAGACACCGGAAATCTATTTATACTAAAGACCGGAAATATAATCACGACGAATTTGAAATTGTGTATTGTTGTTATACGGGTCGAAAATATTAGTAAAGTTCAACAGCATTGTAGAGTTACGAACTTTTGATATGATAGGTTTTGCGAACACAGATTGAGTAACATGAGAAGTTTTTCGCGCGTTTCATTCCGGAAGAAGTTCCATACAGGCAACCAATCATATGGTAGGAGCTAATATTTTTGAAAGGACTGGCGTTTGGCTTTGCCAACCCAATTTGTTCGGTATTCCCGTAGTATGTGTACCAGATTATGGTTAGGCCATAATTTTATTGCGATTTTCCTAACAAAATTAGGTATTTCCATATTGGTACACACATTTCTGAAGCGCCATTTATTCTGAACTGAGAGAGGTGGGTGTAAGATTTAAACCAAAAATGTTTCAATTCGTGAAGCCAAACTAGAACAGGGCAACGCCATCCGCCCACCACAAAAACGTCACCCTACGGAATTATTTTTGACACATTACAATCAAATTTCAAATTCAAATTTCATATGAGGAAAGTGTTAGCCGTATGATCGTCCAAATTTGAGTTGAGTTTTAAATGTAAAATGAGGGTCCCAGCGCCAATTGTTTAGATTCGCGCAGACTCAATTTTATGCCATTCATATGTATAAAACCATTTGCGGAAACGAAATTAAACGCAAGTGCAATGGTGTCGCGGACTCGATGACTGGTATGTTATGTTTCGTCAATTTAAATAATTTTCTTCTTTCATTTAATTTAAAATATTTCTTAAACGTCGAAAATAAATAGTTGTAGACGACTGTAATTAAACGCAAGTACATTGGTGTCGCGGACTCGATGACTCGTATAATATTTCTCGTCAGCTGCAGTAGAAGTATTATGCGAATGTTTTATCGATTTGAATAATTTTCGTAAATTGCGGTAAATATTTAATATGTGTGTTAACTATCTATTAATGTTAACTTGTACGATTGCACAACGTTTCTTGCAAAGTCAAAAACAAATATTGGAATCTAATATGGTCCGTTTCATTTGCATTGTTTCAGTGGTCATTAGGATGACGGCTGGAAAGAATCCAAGTTTCAATGCTAATGACGAAAATTTGCATATCCCTGTAAATTCACGAAAACATAAAATTTTCATAATAAAAAGATTATTTTGAGTAATCACTCATTTTTTCATTTAAATTTCTGTCTGATCAAGAAATTCAAAATTTGGAAATGGTGTGATTTGACGTAGTTATTCATAAATTAACGATGAAACAGCTAAATTTGAAAAAAAAAATAAATTTAAAAATCAAATTCTGTTGGCCGTGATATACCATCTAATTCAATCGTCGTCTTATCGACTTTCCTCTTCACACGGATAAATAGATAATTGTATTGCGCCATTGGCGGAAGCATCGGAAATTGGTCCAAAAAGGATATAGAGGTTCTAAGCACATTATAGATATTCGTACAGAAGTTACCGAATTATTAACATCGTACACTACCTGAAATTTGCCTCCATTTCTTGGGTCCAATCCTGCATATTTATTGACTCTTTCGTCAAACACAGATGAGAATTTGCTTTCTCCCGGATAGAATGAAGTGCTGTAACTCCATGGTAAATTTTTACCAACTTTTGAAGACATTGAATCGTTCAAACAAAGAGTACCTAAATAGAGAATACATTGCATGTTTTCACTTTAGTTGGAGTTGGATTTTCAGACTCTCCGGATCGTTGAAATTTAAGAATTTTGAATTAAAGAAAGCTTGCATACGCTAAAGTTTCCGTTATTAAAATTTGATTTTCCGTCGAAATCGAATTTTTTTGCAACACGGAGTCGCGAGTCAAAGTCAAAATTGTTTCAAGCCGAAGTCGGAGTCGATTGTAAAGTTTCTACGACTCCGTAGCCTAGTTTTGACTGCAAGAGGACAAGAGGATTGGTGGATTCTTCATAAAGTCCAGGCATCTGCAACCAATAACTGATTGATTTTTTCCACACTCACATGGATTGGTAACCGGCCGTGTTTCGCCATAGGAGTTAGACGTCTCATGGAAGTCCATCATCAATTCTTGCCAAATGAATAACGTTTACTAAATACATATACCCCAGTGACGACATAAACTGGTAAACTAAAGAGTAGCCGTGGGTCGTCTTATAAAATTTCCCTGTACGCTGGAATTAATGTAAAAATCATATCCTAACAAAGTCGATTTCAATAAATAAAAAAATCATTTTTTCTCCGTTTGCTTACCAGGAATAAAATCATATTCCGACATTTTCGGTGCCATCTTTTTCAGGCCATGTTCTTGTAAATGTTGTTTGAGACTCGCTATTCCACTGAAGCATGTTATTGGGTCATGACCTTCATGGGCCTGTAGGTGGCGCAGGTGAGCACGCATTAAACCGTTACATTCAAATTCAGACAGAAAATTGTCCATGATGTAAATCCTGCAAAAATAAAAAAAATATTTAAATTAAATGGGGGAAGGGACGTCATGATTTAATGTGGCGTAATAATATAGAATGGCAACGTCATAATATAGTAATGTGGCGTAATAATACAGAATGGCAACGTCATAACAGAAACTCACACGCCGTCAAAATATACCTATACATTGCTTTCTCGAGATGAGAGTGAGAATGAGAGAATTCTTATAAAAAAAATATAAAAAAAATCTACAATGCTGAGCAACACAAACTAAAAATTAGATAATTTCAATTATAGAAACAACTTCGAAAATTTGTTTCCCCGAAAATAGAGTACATTCGCGTAAATATTCACGTTTTTAGCCATAAAAGGGATTTTATTGTCGTTGGAAGAATATTTGGGACGTTTCAGATATTTCATTAAAAAAGTTTCCTTTCATCTTTCAACAGCGTTTAAAAATTATAAATTTATCAACAAAATATGCCCAAAATTGATAATAATCCGTGAAAAGAGGTTGTTATTTGGGGAAAATATTCGATTTTCTAGGAAATTGCAGACAATCGATGCGATGATATCTTGATAAGAGGATATTGGATGTTATTGCATCTGCAATACACAGGTATTACATGAATCATAAATTTAATACGAAAATCGCTAAAAAATGAAAATTATTATCAGGACACTGTTGCACAAAGGCAAAATGTTTGGTCATAAGGATGTCAGATACTAATCTTTAGATAGGGACAATGAATGCATTTGGGATTAAACAAATATGCCCACTTCTCGACTGTAAAATACAGATAAAAAGACACTTCTGATTTGAAATAAGTCAATTAATATAATAACATTGAAAATGTTTTTTGAAGTACAAAATAATTTTCATACTCCAGTCCTATTTGTTAAATATGAGCCGTCGTCCCTTATATAGAATGCAATTTCACATTGTACTATGACAGTTCAAGGTAAGGGCAACAAGTTTATCAATATATCCGTGGTGTTCTCGATTACGATACACAACGAACCAATGGGATTGAATTTCATCAAAACATATTACCGTACGAATATGATGAATATCTAAAGTATGTCTTGTATTGTTAAATGAAAAATCGTCTAAAAATTTGAACAGAATGTTTACGAATAACGCGAACAGACATTTTTCAATCAATATTGCATTGTTCGACTGTAAAAAGATAATTTTTGATTTGAAAGACGCCTATAATGAATATTGCAGCGGTAAAACTGAAATTGAAAATTAACATTACACACAAGTATGAAGAAAATTGGATCTGTGCCTTATATTTTTGAGGAGAATTCGTCAAATAATTTGATGAGTAATAACGTAATAACATTTTTTTTTTGCAATCTTACATTCCGACGTTAAACACTGGACGGACATTCGCTTGTAGACAAAAATATTTTAAAGGAAAAGACCGAATATCTGAACCAATAAATATTTTGCCATTTTAAAATTTTACAAAAAAATTTCTTCGTCCAATTTTAACAAATTTTGGTCATTTTTGCGAAGTTATTTGACGAAATTACACCAATGATTATGTCGTGACAAATAACAATTTCAAGAAACCAAAAATACCAAATTTAGATACTTAAAACCGGGAATTTTGCATAAAATGCGACAAAATTGATCTAAAATGTTCGGAAATAGGTTATAAAATATTTTCAAACGATTGTGGTTCAACCACTTCAACGTCTATAAAAATATTAATCTTCAAAGTCGACATATTGTGGCGAATGGCCTTGCATGAAAAATAACTTGCACTTACAATTTAGTAGTAAAGTCATTATTTAAAAAAGAAATTTGGTACTCCCGTAGTATGTGTACCAGGTTAGGGTTAGGCCGTGAGTTGTGAAAACCACATTTCGATCTTTTTCAAAAATGGTTTCGTTTTCAAAAAACGTTGGTGGAACCTTGCACGGTACCGTCACCATAGGGTGCGACCCATACCTTCAACTTCACAAATAGGTCATTCGTATCATTTTGCGACCATTTGTGCCAAAATAAATAGTTTAATGAAATACTCAGACGTATATATGATATTGATATACCGTATCAGACAGTAATCTCAGAACACTATTATAAATATCCACCATATTTCATGGGATTTAGCAGTAAATAACATTTGAAAAAGCAATTTAAATTTTGTTTTGTCAAGTATCGGGTGTTGATGTGAGAGGCCTAAGTTTCTAGCATTTAGTTTCGATTTCGTGAATGTATTATATTTCATTTTACCTGAACTTTATGACATTATATTTTTAACTCGCTATTTATTTAAGCTTAAATCTGTGTAATACTCAGAAAAATAGACAAATAAATTTTCAAATCAAATCATTTTAAATGAGTCATAAAACAGTTGTGTCCATATTTTCATGTTTATTGCTTCGTGTTATTTAAATATACATTTTTCTATCCCCACTAGACTATCTTTGAAAAGTGTCGAAATAATGATAGCATTTTTCCATTAATGTATAATTGCTAAAAGGCATTTTCAAAACGATTTAATTCAAATTTTACAGTCCGACGTTAGTTTACAGGTTTTCTTGGTGTGGTAACAAAAACGTTCTCTTACCTATATATAACCTATACGCCTTACACAAGCAAACGTTCTGTTTTAACACAGCTAACCCAAGTCAATAGTCCCAATCGCCAAGATTATCCACTCGAGGGTTTTGGAAATGTAATTTTAGCACAATTACTTTGATACAACGTCCGATTGGTAAAGCATAACTTTAACTAAGAATAATATGATGTAAAAAAATTGACTTACTGTACTTTCGAAGTTGCGTTATTCTTCAGAATTTTCAATTTTTTCCACTTCTGTCCATCCTTTGCTTTTAATTTAAATCCGGTCTGAACATGCTCTTCAAAATTCGGGAACATTTCGACAGCTTCCGCTCCAATTCCTCCAGCCGCGTTTTTCACCGGATCCGGGTTTGAAGATTTCTCAGAGTCGGATTTTGCTCCTTTTTGTGACGTTTGCTCTTTTTCTTGTTCATGTTCTGAGCCGTTTTCAGAGGTTTCCTGAAAAAATTCATAATTTTTATAGTTTTAACTTAACGTCTTTTTTCGTAATGGAACTACTGTGCGCCCCCGATTTGGCCCTTTGCGCCCTGTTCTAGGCATAGCCACCACCTGACAGTTTTACTCCACCCCTTGGGCGACATTCGATTAAGAATCGCTAGGGTCAGGGTTGGAAAAAATATCTTAAGGCATCATAATATGGTCATTTCGTGCATGAGGACAGATTGATTTGTCGCCAAAAACGTCGTCGACAAATAAGTTGGCGTCAAATCGGATGGTATCTGAAGGTGCCCACCCGACCTACTCCTTCCCCTCTTCCTCAGTCTTGTGCCAGCAGGGTGACACGAAGGAAATTCGTGACGATGAACCATTGTTTAGAAAGAAAACTTAAGTCGTGAATTTGAATGAATTTTCTGACTGTCGAATTACAAGTTTATTTGCGACATGGTATTAGTAAGTCCGTGCGGTGAATTATTCATTTTGAAGGATTATCATAAAATAATACACTTGGAACATTTACAGTAGTTGTGTCTCATTGACACGAATACAACTCGTGCTAAAACGTTTTCTCTATCGTGCTGGAAACGTGGAAATACCACAAAGGAATAGGATAAGTAGGACCATGGCCAACACAAACATTGTCAAAACATTATAAGCATTCCATCATTTTTTGAAACAGCCCAAGAATTTGGCTAACTATGTGGAAATAAACCAAACGCTTGAAATTTTACATTCACGAAATTACCAAACTAGATTTAATCATTTAATCAGACCAGAGAGGTTAAAACACCAATCTTTTTCTAGCTCCCCTCGACTTAATTATACCGTCAATTTCACCGTATTTTATCTAATGGCGCTAGGGTAGTGGGGTACTCGATGGCGGACAATGGAACGTAGTATGTGTACCAGGTTAGGGTTAGACCATAATTTCAGGTACAAATACTATACGGGAGTCACTTGGCTAGTCCCCGAACTCGCATTAAAACTAAAATAAAGAAAATTGGAAATAAATTAGGGCCCCATACTTTAACCCGGTACTCAAAACTTGTCAAATCTTTTACTATTATCAATTTCATTTAAAAGCTTTTTTTTTATTTTGAAGATTCCAAATACATTTCTACGTGCGGAATCACATGAGATACACGTAATATAAACTTCTTTGTTCCAACAAAACTAGTTTGCGGTTCTAAATAAAGCTTATGGTTCAACACCGCATTAATGACTCAATCCCATTCCATAAGTCGAAGCTTGACATTCGTCTTACCGATCAAATGAGATATTTAACGCGATTTAAGAACGAGGTTTCTAATTTTAGTTTCGTCGCTGTCGGATCAGCACAAAACCGTTAATAACCGGAACAAATTTTTAAAAAAAATCAGGAAAGATTCAACATTTGTGGATATACATTTTTTGTCACCGTACAATCGTAATGCAACTATTACACGTTTTAACCATGAATAAGTCCATGAACAAGCTGGGCCAAGAAGGCCACTGCAACCAATGCGAACGCAGTGGGCCCATCACTTGCGCAGGCTAATTCTCGGTGTAGATTATTAAATTTAACCGCTATAAATTATCATCATATATACTCCACGCCGAGTAAATAATATTCCGTGACTCAAAGTTTGTCTTTACTGATTAAATATGGTATTTTACGCGATTTAGGAACGAGTATTTGTCGTTGATTTCTATTTTTAATTTCATCGCTGTCGGATTAACACAAAACCAACATCGTTGAAGGTATTTGTCCCCGTAAAATAGCTTGGATTGGGAATGAATTGGAAAGGGTTCAAATAGGTTCGACACATTTTGTCAATGTATGATTCTAATACAGTTTTTATATAACGTCTTACTCGCGTTTCACGTCTGCAAAAGCAGTCACGTGATATAGAAGGAGCTTCTATATATTTGATAGGGTAAAAATTACTCTGATTCCGCATTGCCCCTTCAATTTATTAAACCCCAGGTGAGGTGGATCAGGTTGTTATCTCAAATTGCTACCCTATCATACTTAGGTAACTCGTGGGTATTAATCATCTAGGCCAGGAGTGTGTAACCTTCAACACAGGAGGGCCAGATACAAATAACTGAGTAAAACCGCGGGCCGCATCTTTATTTAGCATAGACTTTCTGGTAGTTGCAGCCTCGCAGGCACAAAAATTTTGGTGATTAATCTTATGACATGCGTTGTTTGCTTCTCACGTCTAGCTGTTAGGGCATTGGAACGTCATAGGCATAGATAATAATTGGCCTCTGGTATACGCTTTGCAACGCAAAGGGATTGGAATTACTCGCACATACCAGTTTAAACTAAAACTAAAAACTTGTTTCTCGGGCCACGCATCATTCAAAATTGGCACTTCTCTGCGGGCCGCACAATTTTTCCTTGTGGGCCGCATTTAGCCCGCGGGCCGCAGGTAGCACACCCCTGATCTAGGAAATCGCGCCCTTTTTATAATTAGTTTGACACCCTCGATAAAAGACAAAGCTCAACCTATTTAAGTTTGAACCTGATGTACAAGTGACAACTGGAATAACCAGTCAGTTGAAACACGTTTTTGTTTGTGTTGTGTTGTAATCACTATTAAAAATACTTTTACAAATTTACCAAAAATTCAATGTAACCCAAATCCAACTGAACTTATCTAAAATTTATGGCAGTTTAAATCTAAATTTCATTCATAAATATGTACGAGGTAATAAAGGTAATGGTCGAAATTACAGAAACCTTTCTGTTAAATTACTGGATTTTTTATGGTAAATCTGTGGTTACGGATTTGTTTAACAACCGATGTTGTTGATGCTAATGAAGCGTGCGTACGGTAAGTTCTGTGGTTTTGTGGTTGCCAGGATTTATGGTTTTGTGTATTTTTGTTTCTAATTTCATGTTCTAAGATACAATCTGATAAAAGAATATGAAAGGTGTTGCAAATCGAATACTAGTGATGCCAGATTAATGAATGATAACAAAGTTTATCTTTATCTTTTAGTTTTGCTATACAATGTATTAAACAATATTGAAAAAATAAAAAAAATATTGAAATTAACGGAACAGTCGCATGCAAATGGCAATGTTTTACTGTGTTTAAAAGCACGTTAAAATACCACACAATTATAGCATTCAGATATAATTTCTAAAATATCGATCAAAGATTAACGTTGGGAAACACTGGCGATATTGGACATCATCGCTTCACAATTGCTTATGTGCACAAAGGTTAGTGTTAGGCCATAATTTTATTCCGATTTTCCTTATTTTAGTTCTATAACGAGTTCGGGGCATGTCTGTGTTAACCAAGTGAATATACCCCCTGTCCATAAGCTTCCGTCCCTTTACACAACTTGTCGTAAAGTAGGCAAACAAAATTAGTTACCTCCATATTGGTACACACACTTCTGGAGCGCCTTCTTTTTTACTAAAAGTGTCAAAATAATAAAATTTCAAACCTTTTTATCTTGAGACAATCCCATCCTCTTCGGCTCTTCCTCGTAGAATCCTTTCGGCAAATCTTCTTTTGCTATTTCATGAGGATACGATCCCAGAATATCGGCTTCGACCTCTGGTGGGAGCTGTGAATAAAAATAAGATAAATTAACACTTGGTTAACGGACTACTGCTGACAATACCAAACGAAGCGGGCCAAATCCGGCGCGTTGCGTAACTCAATCTGGCCCGCCTGATGATGCCACAATCAAACTAAAACCAAATTTTGATGTTTTAGCTAAAAAATACCTCAAGAAGTTTGTTGAGATTGCGATTAAATTTAGTCTTGACACGAGTTTATATCTATCCATGTGAAAAAATGTATCACCAAATCTTCATGCACTGAGTTTTTGAACTCATTTTAATTACAAACAAAATTAGTTACCTCCATATTGGTACACACACTTCTGGAGCGCCCTGTAAACTGCTTGTATAAAGTCTCATTATGCGCGAACAACACATAACTTAGAGAGCGTCTGTTAACGCAGACTATATTTATGTGGATTACTCAAAAATTTACATAAATTTACTGAAAATTTCCATAATTATTGCAAAATTTTGCTGCTATTGTTTGGCTAACCTTTATTATTTGTATATATTAGTTTCATTCACGTTTTTGGCTGAAAATTGATAGGGAAATTATGGAAGAGAAAGATTAATTAAAAGAATAATGAACTAATTAGCCCATGGTAATTTATTTTTGTTAACCACAGCCAAGTCTCGGCCATGTCACATTAAGAATTAACTTACAAGACAAGTTTGGTGAAATTGTGGTGATAATTGATTACTTTGCTGCAATGAGTATTATCTGTTACTACCTATATTTGGAGTTGTGAAAATAACGATTTTTTGAAAGTTTGGTCGGTCGAAAGTGAAACGAATTTATCATTTAGTAAACAAAGTAGAGATAACAATTTCATTGAAAATCGAAAAAAGCTTGGTTCTGTTTATTATTCGCTCTCAACGGGATTTTTATCAAGCGCTTATTCGCGTTAACTTGTATCGAAAAAAAGGTTTTATTGAAATGTAACATTGGAAAGCACTTGGAAATGTAGCTGAATTTGTAATAACACATTTACACAAGTTTTTTCCGGGCCGGATTACTCTAAAGTGTTTCAAGTCGCATGTAAATCGACACATTATGAGTAAATATTCGCGCTCTGATAAACATTTTATAAAAAAAACTATACTTTATATATTCTACTTACGTCTTTAGGTTTAGGCAATCCGAACCAATACACGGCAGCTCCACCGATCACAATGTATAGAACAACAGCTATGAGAAGTTTGTTGCGAATCCTGTTCTGCACCTGTGAAACAATAAAAAAAATTTAGCATGATTTTGATCAGGCTTGGTCGCTTAGTGCAGTGTTTCTCAACCTATGAGTCGCCTATAAATTTTCTCTTGTTTTTCAATAAAAACATAAAAGTAACTGCTTTTATTTTCTAGTAAATTTCATCATTCAGTTTATATTAGTATGGAATCTGCTATTATTAGTCGGTCATTTGAATCGAAATCATTACATACCGCCTCGTATTTAAGCAAATACTTGGGTCGCAAAATTCTAAAAAAAAAAAATTTTTCAATTCGTGTCGCTTGAAAAAAAGTTTGGTAACCACTGGCTTGGTGGACAGGGCGCTGGAAATTTTTTTGTTGAACGCCACACGTATCATTTCGGCCATTTAACAACAATACTCACTTTGAAGACTTGAAAATTTAAAACGAACATTGCACGGATATTGGCAAAATTTAAAATGACATTAGCCACAACGGAGGAGCCATTCAAATGGCGATTGAAGCCATATATAGTTCGACTCGAACATAGTAGCCAACATTGTCTCAGTAACTGTTTGTCTGGAGCATCATTCAGAACGAATGTGTCTGGAATGTTTCGCAATTTTTTTGCAAAATGTAGTTTCGATATAATGTTATATAAATGTCTCATCGAAGAGTTAAAAATCGGACCAAGTTTGTTATGCTTTCCCTGAACAAAGCATTGCACAAATTATCCTTGAGGACGCATGAAATATTGGATACTTTGAATAATCGTTCTATCTGTTAGTTTTCGGTAGAATTTCATTATTCGCCAAAAAAACCAACGATAATTTTTATGACAAAATTATTGGTTTTAAATTCTCGTTTGACCTATTTTCCATTTCTTTCGAAACCACAAAAACCGCACGTGAGCTACCGATTGCTTTATCAAGATTTTTCTTTTTAAAGGTTATTCCTGTCAATTCTGGGCCGCACATAAATCGTCTCCGTAATCAATTGCGAATTGTCATTCAAAATTGTTCTTACGAAGAAACGATCATTTTGATCCCACTAAATTATACTGTTAAAAACGACGAAAGTTACTATAATATTTTATAGTTGTTAAGAGTCAAATCGTGAAATTGGCAAATACGACGGAACTGGCCTTTTATTCTCAGCTTTTCTTTCGCGATATAAAAGCCCTAACTATGCAATTCAAGAGTCCTGCTGCTGAGAAAGTTTGACTTTGGTCATGCAGACGAAATGTTACAGAAATACATTTGTGCTACTGTGCAGCAAGACTCTTGAACTGGATAGAATAGTCATGAAGTAGGAAGTGTGCCTATTTTTTTTCGTTTCAAATTTTGCCTTGGCTCTATTGCCCCATTGTTTTACTCTAAATGTTGCCGATTTCAAATATACACCACATCATGTGACAGATAATCCGACAATTTGATTGATTGCTAAACGAGCAGTGATGACGAAAATATATGAGCAATGCCAATAATGATTTAGTATTAGAATCTGTAGTTGCATATTGCAGATTTCACAATTTTAAACATGAACCGTTAAATATTTTTTCGATATTAGGTAACAATAGCATTAATATAATGATATATATTTGCAATTTGGCGTGTTTTATAGGATTTATCACAATATAAAACAGCTATAATAATCTTTGAAAACGAGATATCTAGCTTGAATGTCATCATCCTAAAAGCACAAAAATCAATACAAATTCTTGATAAAAAAAACATCAAATTCACGAGTTTTCTAATCGTTTCACTCCGAACTTCATCCGCCTGTGTGGCCGGATTATGAAGTAATGGATTTTTAACTCCGGTACATTATACTTAACCACTTTCAAAAGATTGTGGTTGACCACTTCAATGGCGCCATTGAAAAACGCGGTAAATTATGGGATTTAGTTATTATACTAATTAGAAAGGATATTAATGTCAATCAAATTTATTTTCTGAAGTCAAGTATTAATTATGAACTGCAAGAGTATACAGAGAAAGCCGAATTTTCCATTTTAACAAGTTTGGGCTTAAGCGCCATGCCTACTAAATCGCCCAATGTGTAATGCAAATTGGTCATATGACGGACAAATCTCACTCCATTCAAAAACATAGTGGGATCTGTGCTATATTTTCTGTGAAAATATAAATATTTCGTATAATTCACATAAAAGACGTTAAAATGAAAGTTTTTTTAAGTTGGCGTTATCAAAAGATGTAAAAAAAGTTTGAGATGTCGCGTATTTGCAGGGTGGGCATACACCCCCCATGTACTTAAAAACATAGATGTGTCGCAAGGTTTTGTATTGAGGCGAACTTTTTCATCGGTTTCGTTCAAGTTCCGTTCCGTTTTTTCAAATTTTAATCGCTATAGAAATCAGAAATTAAACGAGCGTCATAAACTGCAATTTTCAATACACAATTCATTCTTATTTTTACTATGGAAAAAGGTATTGAGAAATGGACAATTGATAGTGTGCATTTTTCGAACCGTGTTTATAGTTTCGAATATTGACTCTTTTTTTCATTCTTGGTTGGAATGAGGTTTTGACAGCTTTTGGAATGAAAAATTAATACAGTTTCGTTACCAAGAACAAAAATACCACGCAGTCAGAACAAATAATTTTTCACAAGTTTCGTATATAAAGTTTGAGAACTCGACTCCCGATTGTAAACCGAGAAACGTGGAATTTATTTTGTTTTAACCAGTGTTCATTCAAGATTTTTACTTTATCCACTTAAGGGCCAACAAAATATATATATCAAAATTTGTCTTCAAAATTTTAAAAATTTTGGGTCTTTATACCAAATATGGAGTTGGAATGAGCTATCATAGGCAGCTAAACATCTGGTCGGCGTATCAGACAATAATTAATGTAATATTTAAAAATAATTCACGATGTATTACGTCACCACGTCTATGCGACACGTTTCGAAACTAAAATGAATGGCAGGCATTGTACTGTGACGTCATAATTCAGGGAAATTTTGTTTTTTCGAGGAAATATTTTAATATTGTTTCATTGTAATTCACCTATCAATTTGAAACAAATGTCTCAATTGTAGTTTGAACTTTAAAAACTTGCAGAAGGCAAATTTCTTAAGGTGTTTTCACGGTACTCCCGTAGTGTGTGTACCAGGTTAGGCCATAATTTTATTTCGATTATCCTCATCTTGGTCCCATTCCCATCTTGCTACTTTTTGGAGCACCGATGAAGCACCGTTATTTTTTCGGTTCGGCCAACCAATTTATCACACTTTAAAAACGGCACGATCGCGTTAGACAGGGGTGTACAACCTATAATACTGGCGGGCCAGATACAAATGCCTTGGTGAAACCGCGGGCTGCATTTATATTAAACATACGCTTTCCAATGTTGCAAGCACAAAAAAGCATTGTAACGTCATAGGCATAAATAATAAATTTGAATTAAGTATGGGCTCTGCAACGCGAAGGGATTTAGATTTCTAGTCAAATTGAACTAAATTAAAAATTTGTTTCGCGGGCCACATACCATTCAAAATTGGCGCTTACCCGCGGGCCGCAGTTTGCAAACTCCTGCATTAGAATATTAATTAGGATCAATGTTTAATTCTGCGATGGCAATGCGGCATATTCGCAGCAATATTTAAGCAACTTTACTTGTATTATAATTAATAACATTGTCATATCTTCATACTCGTGAGGTATTGTTATAAACGTGAGAATTTCGACATCAGAAGTCAAAAATTTATGAATTATATAATATCTATTTTGAAACACAGAAACAATGACAATGCACGGTCGTGCACCTAACTCAATAAATCATAATTTTTATGACGTCATCTGTGACGTAAAAATATTTTTAAACATCTTCCCGGTGAACGGAATAATACACAGTGATGATTGAATAAATATTGATAAATTGAATAAAAAATTGGCGCTTTCACAAGTATTTATGGCATTTATATGTTTCTTTTTCGACAAAAACAAATAGTTTCTATGCTTTCATACAAGTGATTCACGTGTGAAAAGGCAAAATTGACAGCTCGATCACTTATAGTCACTCAAGACTTATTATTCTCAAAATTTCGATGTTGAAAAAATATTCTGTAGAAATAAAACGATCAAATGACAGTTTTTCTATTTTCGTTGCTGCTTCTGTATTTATTTGCGCTACTAGAGAAGTATACCAATCCATTAAATAGAATAAAATTTAATATACTTCAAACCTCTTGTTTATTCCCACCATCTAACACATGGTGTAATGAACTGGTTAGGCAAATCCGAACTAGAAAGCTTCCGGTTTTTGCAAAATAGAAGGCAATACCATACCAAGTTAGTAAATGCTCCCACATGGCAATATAGTTGTTTAAAAAAAAAAATTTTTAAATCGGATTTCGGAGTTATCGGATATGCCGCAGATTTTGAGAAGATACGTGCTGCCCAGTTAGGCGACGTCCTGAATAAAGGTCTTGTGATTTGTGTCAAACTATACCTGTTCTTGTGCAACTTGCTTCGATATTTTCTTCTGCTTGGTTGCTACTTTCTTCTGCTTCCGAGAAATAGTACCGGATTTAGGCGAAGATTGACTCCCGACACCACCACTACTCGACGCTCCTTGGTCTGTTCCTTCGTCAGATTGTTTCCGTTTTGTTATTCCGTGTTTTAAAGCCATTTTGAATGGTAATGAAGATTGTATTAATGTTACTAGTTAATTTTACCATGTAAAGCTGTGATAAATAGATAAGAGAGAATAATAGTTGACAACGTACACTTTTCATTTTTAAATTTATTTTACAACTATTATAAGACTCACTACGAAATGAACGCGTTTATATTGACGTATTATATTTTAGATGTTGAATTCAATTTTTATTTGTCTTGAAATCTTATGTTCCTTTACTTTATGAATACCGTTCTATCAAGTCCAAACATCTGAAAACAATAACTGACAAGCTAATCTCATACCCGACATGGACTGGTAACCGGACGAGAGGCCGTGATTCGCGATATGAGTAAGCCGTCTTATAGGCTTCGCTCTACTCCCGGAATGAACATGAAAATTATATCCTATCGCCCTGCGCGGTGAGACCCGGACTGCTGACGAATGTACCAGCGTTATTTTCAAATAAAAGTGAGTGAAATCAAAAAGGTGTAAAAGTAGGAGATATCTAGTCCTCAAGTGTATTCATGCGCTTGTATTCATCCACCAAATCCTTTTCGACTACTTAAATACATGAACACTGTTCTGTTTCTAAATCCTGAAAACTTGCAAGTAGCTCATATCAACCGGCTACAGACTGCAGTAATGATACCTTGTACATCATTGTACGTCGGTTCAAAACATCAACAAATCAATACCCTTATCTGTAATCTAATCTAATCTCAGACCACGCTGATAGCGGAGCACATTCTCGTGTTAAAAAAGATAAGCCTTGTCCAACAGTTTCCTAAATTTTGCTGCACGGTTTTGTGAATTATACCCTTCATATAAAACCAGTGGTTCTCAAACTTTTTAAGCCGCGCCCTTTTAGAACTGGGGTAGAATTTCAGAATTGGTAGCACCCCTTGCTCGAGCACGCTCCACCGTTCGAGAACCACTGAAATAAGTCTTTGATTTTATATATCACTAAAATTTGACGCAGAACCAAAAAAATATCAATTTTCCGAAACTGTCAGAAAATCTATCAATAAAATTCTAAGTACAACAACATTTTTATTCTAATGTAAACGAATATCGAATGACTGTCAATCGACAAATCTACTATTTTTCGTATACCTCGTCTAACCTCAACCGCTTGCTACCTGTACCATCTAAACTAAGATAAGCTTCCACATAAAACACCTACAGATGTGGTTTTTACAACGCCCATCAATCAAAATGGGTGTCATAGATAAGATAAAATACAAATCAACAAAAAGCGATGTTAATACAGAAAAAATAGTAAATAAAACTTAATGCTGGCTCCCACGTCCCCGAGAAAATCATTAAGATTAAGATAATTCGTAAATTGAAATAAGCGATAACAGTGGTTCGACTTAGCGCATTTACTTTCTGTAATATAAACCACAATGCATAAATAAGCAAATTTATTTTTTTAACATTGAATTATGAAGAAATTTTATAATATTAATAAAAATTCATCAATGCTTCATATTTAGAAGAAATGCCTGACAATACCTCAACGCGTTATCCTATCAGTTTTCATCATTTTAAGTCACTGCTTTTAAGACTGAAAATAATGAGTATATTTTTAAGAAATGGAAATCTCCATATTGATCCGTATTATCGAATTTCCTTTCACGTGAATGAATGTGGAATTCTAAAGAAGTGCCATGCTCCGACATAGAAATTATTATTTTTATTACTTCATTACCACGTTGTACAGTATTTATGATTTGAATAGGTTTTATAGGACAACAAGAAATTTCTTAGAAAAAATATAGAACTGTCTGCTTGATTCCTGGGAGCAAATATGAAATCCTAAGAAGGCACTCGCTCCATCACACAAGTTTTCAAAATGTTCCTGGTTAGCGCATTCCAAGGTATTTACCAAGGCTTGTGAGGGGGATCTGCCATAGGGCCACCATGGGCAGCACTTCGTAGTGACTTGCTTTTAGTAAATGAGTTCGATCTTATACATGTGGTTTTGTTGCTCAGTTTGATTATTTAATCAATAATACAAGCATTTCACTCTTACTTGACCAACAATTTTTTCATTCTTATGTATAACAATATCTATAATTTGCTTATCCTCCAAGTTATTTTTGAAGTTAGGTATAACGGGCAGTATTATCCGAAACTCGTCCTGGGCAGCAAAAAAGTTTAGCACGTCCCTGTTTAAGTGGTTGCTTGTTTATAGTCTTGTCCGTGGCAAAGATGTGATACACCTACAATGTGGTATTGATATGCGTCACTTTTCCTTGAACCCATTTGCCATCGATTAAGTGAAACTCCCCATCTAGCTATGCTAAGTAGCAACAAATAACCAAAGATAATGGTAACGCTTTGTTATGTGGGATAGATGCGGTCTCGATACACATTATCGACTGACGAGTCACGCCAAAAATTATAAACAATAACCTATGAGATTAGATCTAAAGAATACCAAGCCGTCATAAGGATTCGAATTTAGTATTTTAATGACAATATTGGGGGAGTGGAATTGATAGAAGCATGCAAATGGGCCGGGTTTATTGGAGACCAAAAGTAGGGAATGGGTAACATATCTGTGGGTAGTTTAGTGGGGTTCGAAAAATTCTACTCGATTGCACGCCTTATGAAAACCAGAATACGATTCCGACACAGGTATGCTATGAATTTAGACTACAACTCCGGATCTTGAATCTATCTCTCAAGTAAAGGATTATGGATCATGAAAATATGGTGTTGCAAACCTTTATTCTATATTAGTTGCAAATTTTGACACGACTTTCAGAAATTCGACGACCCTGAAAACTAGTTACAACTTACAAATTCAAAAGTTGATTCGTGTTAACAATTTTTGTGATAGCGAGGAACTGACGGATGACACTTTGTTGACGTTCCTGTCCTTTTACAATACGTCAACGTCAGTTCTAAACTTGCGTGAACTGAATTTTCATCTGATCGCCACATATATGCAAACGACAGATCAATCAAGATGAACTTGAGTTCTGAACACACCTTCATTGAGTTTCGTGAGATCTTTCAATCAACGATATAACGGTACTCCCGTATTATGTGCACCAGGTTAGGGTCATAATTTTATTCCTATTTTCATCATTTTAGTTCTAATACGAGTTCGGAACTGTCTGTGTTAACCAAGTGAATATACCCCCTGCCCATAGGTTTCAGTCCATTTACACAACTTGATGTAAAATAGGCGAACAAAATTAGTTACCTCCATATTGGTACACATACTTCTGGAGCGCCGAAGATACCAACTCTACCAGACATATCGACTTGGATAGAAATTCCTCCGTTTCAGTATATAATTCTATATCTGATCAGTATCTTTTGGTGCGTCAGTGGTAGTCATAACTCTGCCAAGAGATGAACCTTCTTTACTTCTGAGTGAATTATTTTAAAGAATATATGTAAACATTTAACGCTTTTTTACTACCGCAATTCGTCACTTTATTTGAAAAACAATTAATTTACTCACTATATCCATATCGCTAACGCTTGTAACTATCCTAGCCCGGAACACATTTTGCCTGCTGTGTATGTTATGCTTCGTAATAAATCATCGCACAAAAGAATAGAAGCCACACCCAAACAACCTTTCATAAGCAAAAGTGAAATTTGGAAAAAAATCTAAATTTCTTTGTTTAAATTCACGAATGCATTTTCTCCATTGTGAGCAATTATATCAAACGCGAACAGTCATATAAACTACCATTGTCTGAGTCAAGTTGAACGTCATACAAATATCAAAACAATACGACCTGTTTCATACGTGGGCGATAGGTATTTCCTCGTTATTTTCCCTGCTTCATACTAGATTTAAAAAAAAAAACTCAATTTCTAATTTGGATAAAATCTAAGAATAATTTTCGTTGAAAGTTGTCGACCTTGTTAAACATGAATTCCTCACAAATTCGATTTCCGATGAAATGACCCAAACACACAGATTAACTTGACCCGATGATACGCTCACAAATCTTTCGAATTACAGCGACAAACAATAATCCCATCACTGACCGGTATGTGACAGTGGTCAGTAACGTAAAAAACCACCTTTTCACTGATATTTTAAAGTATTCGTACCATTATGAGGCAGATTAGTCCCAACAGACATATTTTTGTCTTCAACAGCTAAAGTAATTCAACAAAACTGAATTACTATGATATTCGACTCAACATACGTGATTTTATACAGTAATCATCGGTCAAGGGTGACGTAATTCAATTCTGAATAATGCAACGTCAGCAAAAAACGGTCATTCTCAGTTATGACCTGGGTGCGGCGGTTCCATCAGTCCTGTTACACATGACCTCATCATTACTAATTTCTTATTAATAGTACTAACATATCTAATTTTCCCTCGTCTATCACGAATAAACAATTATTTTCCAATTGGCATAACAACCATGACAGAGCCAAAACTATCAGACAATGCTGGCGAACTCAGTAAAACAAAAGTTCCCGAACGCGTCATTCAATTAGTTCAGCATTATGCACCCTTCGTGGTCACAAACCTATCGAATCCATACCAGAAATAGAAGCGGCCTTGGCGGTCTTACTTGGCGGCATCGCAATAATCTAACTAAGTGAAATACGGTAAAAAAGTTGATAAAATTTACCCTAGTTTCACAGTACTCAAATTTAAATTAAAAAAAAACAGTAATAATTCTCACCAGTAATGTACAGATGTATGATTTGGATTTTTTGAAATTGAATAACGTTTAAATGCTATTAATTATACCGAATAATGCTGTCAGTATATATAGATGTAATATTTACGTGAGCTAAATGGTAAAGATTAACAGAGATAACAAGTGTAACCGCTATGAGTTTATGGCTGCCTAAGTAAATAAATAAACAACCATACGGGAATCTGTAATGACATTGAGTCTTTTAGAATTTTCCTTCATAGCGAGACATGGAATGGTACAAACGAACACTGAAGCTTGTTTCATGAATCAAATTTTTAGGCCAAATCGGCGTGAAGAATTATGAAAGTCATGTTACGTTGAAAGTTGGTATTCCTGTTTTTGAGTAGTGCTCGCTGTATTGGACTCTATCC